ACTGATTCTGTGTAGAATTAAATCAGCCATAATCCAACTCCTGATTACCATTCGTTGACATTTTGCTTAAAAATATCCATTTGTGTGCTTCACAAAAATATTTTAGTAACAAGAACGAAAAAGAACTTCCAATTTGATAATCCTTTTTATAGTCTATTTCTGTAATACTGCATCAATACCTTATTCCCAATACAGCCAAAGCCCTCATTCCACACCTTCACCATCTGCAGACTTGACTTCTCCAATACCCTGGTCTCTGGCTCCCCAGTTTTCCGTTCTACAAGCTCCAGACCAGTCAGAATTCTGCTGCCCACATTCTCTCCTGCACAAAGCTCCAGGAGCCCATTACCCCCATTTTCTCCAGGCACCATTACTGATTCCCTGTACACCAGCAGATCAAGTATTAGATCCCTTATTTACCTTCAAATGCTTCACAACCATACCCCACCCAACCACTGCTGTGTTCTGCAGTCCTATTGCCCCGAACATTTCCTCCTCCTTCAATTCTGGCTTCCTTCATGACCCCTGCCCCACCCCCTCACCCCCCTGTCCCCCTGTCCCCCGTTAACCCCCCCGCCCTCCCTCACCCTCCTCACGCCCCCACCCCATCACGCCCCCGCACCCTCCCCAACCCTGCTCTCTAGAACTCTGTCGAAATCCCTTCACATCACTCAGCCTTTCCCCAATTTCAAAACCCAATGAAAAATTTATATCTTTGATCGTGCCTTTAGATGTTTGATTGTTCACTTAAATTTGGTAAAATCTGTGATTATATTGCCACTCTGGTTAGAAATTTTGACAAATCACATTTTTCGACAGTACAATCATGTCATCTACTGGCTAGAAAGAGTATTACACTAAAGGCTTCAGGATAATTAACTGAAAGATTGGTTCCCTCTGGCCAGTAAATTGGTAACAAGGAGTAGTAGATCTGGATTGCTGTGAGAAGAGTCTAGGAGATTAGAAGAAACTTTACACGCAAAGGGTTATGAGAAAAAAATAGAAGATTACTTGTGTGAAAATAATGCAATATAAATTAAATTTAGATCGTGCCTTTCATGTCGGGAGGACATCTCAAAGGACTTGACACTGCAGACTGGGTACCTGAGCTGGGGTGGGAAGCCAGGAGGTGGGGAGGGGAAAGATGAACAAAAGCAGTCAATAAAGAGGTATGTTTTGAGACAGGTGTTAAACAAGGCGAGGGAGGGAGTCGGAGGGACTCCAGGATGGAATCCAGAGAATGCAGATGGTGGGGCAGATAGGGTGGGTGAATGAAGCAGGTCAGTGTTCATTGAATGAAACGTGTGGCTGGTTTCATAGAGGTTGCAGAGGTAAGGTGGGGCAAGACCGCAGAGGGATTTAAAGGTGAGTACAAGGATTTTGAATTCAAATAACATAAATAATTACATAAATTTAATAACAGAAATGACAAGCAGGATGGCTTGAGAAGGAGCAGACAATAAAATAATCCTTGCATTTGATAGTGGAGTCCTGTAGCTCAGTGGTTAGAGCACTCGCTTTGCAAGCGAGAGACCTGAGTTCAATTCCAGGCAGCGCGAAACCTTGGGCAAGTTTCCTTACTCCTCACGCCTAATAATAATCCCTCCAAAACAAAAAACAATAATAAATTGGTCATTTTCAATCTGTTTGTGGGACATTGCTGTGCGCAATTGGCTGCCGCTTTCGCCCACAAATATACAGTCAATTCACTTTACAGTGTGTTCTGTGAAGCGCTTTGGGACGTCCTCCCGACGTGAAAAGCGCTATATCAAATGCAAGGATTATTATTATTTATTATTATAGCACCTTATCAAGTCATGGATTTACTGTGAAGTGTAGTGACTGTGTACCTGTAGGCGAACAAAGCACCCAATTTAGGCAGAGCAAAATCCCACAACAGCCATGAAGTAAATTACCCAATTTTATTTGAGGGATTGTTGGCCAGGAAACCAGGAGAAACTCCTTTCTTTTGAATAGTGCCATAGGATTTTTGTTATCTACCTGAACAGACAGACATCTTACCCAAAGGTTGGAACCTTCCCAGCACTGTATTGGAGTGTCAGCCAAGACTGGGTTTAAAGTCCGAATGTGCAATCGCGGAATGGTTTTCTAAAAGAGCTCAGGATTTTCAAATAACATGTCGATTTGTTGGGGGTAGGGGAAGATTTGACATAAAATTGTTCAAAAACTTTTGTCATGGTGTAAACATGTGGGCGGGATCTGAGTGCTGATTGGCTATCATAGTTGTTACTCATCAGGGAGGACGGGATCTGGGTGGTGATTGGCTGTCTGAGCTGACACTCACATTTTGAACTCCAGGGTGATAAGTTTCGGGAGCCAATCCCAGGGATACTTGGGAACCATTCACAGGGGACTCTGGAAAATTTCCCTATTTCTCATAGAGCCAATCGACTCTGCTGATGTGCGGCTCAAACCCACGACCTTCTGACTCAAAGGTCAAGAGTGCTGCCAACTCAGCCAGACTCACACCTTTAAGATCTTGTCCGACCATGTCTGTTCTAGATTTCTTGGACNTTTTTTTAAGAGGTTACTTGCCGGGTTAACAGGGGAACACCATATCACGTACCTAGACTGCCAAAACAAATCACATGAGTGACTGCTTCATAAACTAATGCCACTGAGTGTCAAGGGTACGATGGCTGATGGATCAAAATGGCTGAAGGGAAGGAAGCAGATCACAGAATCATAGAATTATACAGCACAGGAGGTGATCGAGCCCATCGTATCTGTGCCGGCCCTTTGAAAAGAGCTATCCAAATCAATCCCATTCCCCTGCTCTCTCCCCATAGCCCTGCAAACTTGTCCTTCCCAGATAGAAACTGTAAGTGGAACTAAGTCAAAATGACGGGTGGGGGAGGTATTAAGTAGGGTGCTTCAAGGTCTGTACTGAGACTCAACAACAACAACAACAAGATTCCATTTATAAAGCGCCTTTCACATCAGGAGGACGTCCCAAGGCGCTGCACAGTTGGGTCATGACCCGAGCAGGGGGGAAATGGTCAGGGTGAGGGGAGGGAAGGGAGGGAGCGAGGAGGGGGGAAATGGTCAGGGTGAGGGGAGGGAAGGGAGGGAGTGAGGAGGGGGGAAATGGTGAGGGGAGGGAAGGGAGGGAGCGAGGAGGGGGAAGAGAGTCGAGAGGGGAGCTGAAGGCTCGGTCAAAGAGACTCCTCCTATTCATTGTCAATATCAATAACCTGGGTTTGCAGACTCAGTGGAAGGTAGTTACATTTACAGATGATGCCAGGTTGGGTGAAAACTATGAAATCAGAGGCAGGAACAAAGATCTTACATTGAGAGCTTGATGGTGAATACGTATGGGCTTGGTGGACTGAATGGCCTCCTTTTCTACTATAAGTTCTATGATCTTACAAAGTGTATTCTTACATATTTCCCCCCACAATCCAAAACATTTACTAAATGTTTTAAATGTGCTTACGAAGAATACTTCTCACAGACATTTTGTAAAACGAATAAGCCACGTGAAAGATCGGATTCCAACTTTGTATTTGTTCAGGCTCCCAACAATATAGCAGCAAATTAAATTTCTGGCACCTTTCCACCAAGCATGTCTGCTGAGTTTATATATTATTTTTAACAATTGCAGTTTCCTAGCGTCTCAATTCTCTTTTGATTTAATGTAAGAGTATATAAAAACACTGAATTAGTGCGAGAGTATATAGAGAATACTAAACTAGTGAGAAGGTATGTAGAGAACGCTGGATTAGTGTGAGAGTTTGTAGAGACACTGAATTAGTGTGAGGATGTAGAGAATAGCCAAATCATGAAAGAGCTTGATTATTTAGTTTGGCACTGAAGAGATCGTTCTTCAAATGAAGGTTTGAGTTCTCACATATTTCCACCCTTCTTCCCATAATATGCAAAGTGTTCTTGGTAGGGTTCAGTTTCCCAATTTCCAGCAAAACTGAAACATTTAAGTGTACCTTGTTGTATTGGTTTAAAATGTTAATTGTGGATACCAAAATACCTACATCTTTATTACAAAATGATGATAAAATGTATTTCACTGATTTTAAATACCCAACATGGTATTACGTGGTAGTTTTATTTTAACTCTGAAGGCTTAGCAGTGTAAGTATGTCTCCTGGTAATATAACCAGGTTGAGCAATATCAATGTGCTGTTTGACGATCTCCACCTTGCACAAATTCCAGACCGTACAGAACTCTAAAGCTCAGATCCTCTTCCACATTGGGTTCTAGAGCTCATGACCCCTACCCTTGCTCAGCTCCACTGGCTCCCTATCCACAACGGATCAATTTTAATATTCCTGATCCTACCTTGAAATGCCTCCAAGGCCTTGCATTACACTATATCTGCAACCTCCTGCAACCCTGCTCCCTCATCACCCTACTCTGCTACACCCCATGGATGTGGTCAAACCATCAGCTATTTTGCCCTCTCCATCTGGAACTCTCTCCCCAAATCCCTAGGCCTTGCCCTTTCCTCTCTGCTTTCAAATCCAAACTCTGTGACTGGACTTACGGCTACCTTCCACCCACCCCCCAAGCTGCCTCACCGCTCAACCTCCCACTCCTTAGCCTTTGCAAAGCAATTTAAGATGTTCTCCCAACATGAATGGTGAATGGCTCAGTCCTGGGATCCGTTACTGTAAAGCGCTCTGAGAAGCCGTCCGGCGTGGAGGGCACTATATAAATCCAAGTTGTGGTTGTTCTTAGATTATTGTGGTTGGTCCACAGTTGCATGGAACAAGCTGCATCCGCTAATAACAGCTGGGGATGACCAAGTAAGGAGCAGTTTTCTAGATACAGGAATCATGTGTGTCCAGTCTGTATGTCTTCTAAGGGATGTTAATTTCTGATTTATCCAGTTTCATATCTAACTGTGGCACAAGTATTATTTATTTGTATATAGTTGAATAAAGTACAATTGAATGAAACAATTAATAATTGAACCAACATATAAAGTACAAAGACTTACAAAAAACATCTAGTGATTTTATCATTTTTCTGCACGTTTATTTCTAAAAGTGGTTTTCATAGTCCTTCAGTTTTAGAACAAGCCATGTGTGGCATAAGGTTCAGTAATGTACAGTAAACTGTAACACTAGCATTTAAAGCATATCACAACATCCATCACAGAGGTAAACAGGACTAACTGTATTTGTACAATACATAGCCATTTAATTTACATTGCAAAATTGAGACTTAGATACTTTCTGTACATTTAATAAAATACATTGTTGACATTTAGTACTGTAAATTATTGTTCAACCGCAGGAATATTTTAAGGCATTTTTTTTTAAAAAAAGCACTTTATTTCTCCAGCTACTAAAAAAGTTAAAAAAGTTAAGATGTGCAGTTCTGAGCAACACGTGTGAACAGCAGTTTAATGAAATGTTGTCTTAAGCTGAACCAAAAGAATTCTTAGAGAAAGACAGGATTTAGTGCACACTTGGTTTTCCGATTTGTTAGTCGAGGAAATTGCAGTGGAGACCTGAATGTGAACACTCCCAAGATTTGACATAAGACACTTTAACAATTCACTTGCTTAAATATTGTAGTTACACATAACAAGTTTACAAAATTGTAGTTTGTGGTCTGAGCTATTCAACCCACATGTACATAACGTCAGTAAAATCAAGTAGACAGTGTATTTTGGAGCACCGTCAAATTAACAACATACAAAATGTCAAATTTATCATAATTTAAAGTGCGAATGTCTCATTGAGATATTAAAATGTGCAGAGCTCCAAGATGCTTTGCTGCATGAAGGGCACTATATAAATGCAAGATGTTAAAATTTCTCCAAATAGTTTCCTTTGCGCACAATTTAATGGGAAATATTCATGTTTGCTTCTCTGTGCTGCATTATTGCTTTCCACAACTTGCAAAGTATTCCACCTCTGGAAAATAAAGGTTAGGCACATTAATTATGAATGATTCAGAAGATTGTCTTCCAAAACATGTAGCAATGAACACTCGGTGATTACTGGCAAAGATCAAAACATAAGTCAGCAATAGTATCTGTATGAATTGAACGTACAAACAGTACACATCAGTCAGGCATTTTTTATTTCCATTATTGAAATTTCCTTTCTCCCATAAGGTTACAATGTAATTACAAACTTGCTGGTAGCATTTGTCATTGAATTATTTAAGCTGTGTAAATTGCTGTTAGCATTTATGAGAACGAGACCAGGTGTTAACTTTAACTAGCGATTATCTGTGTAGGTGGCTGAACAAAATGGTACTTTGGGGTCTAATGTGTATATCTAGCTGTATTATGCTCCATGTTCAAACAAATCTCTAGAGAGGGAAGTTATTTCTTTAAATCTGCATTTCACAACCAATAAAAATAATTGGTTAATAATCCTTTGCATAGCTTAATCATAATATATTTAACAGGACATATGATGCCCTCTGGATACATGGTTTTTCCACATAGCACATATGAGCTGAATTTACACATGATTTATGTAATAGACTCTTTTAATGGGCATTTCAGATGGGATGAATACAAAGAGTAGACAGACTAGAATATCTCAAGTATCATAAAGGTGAGGATGAGTTCAATTAATTTAGACTGTGCATTTTCAAATTTATAGCAATATGTTCATGTGAATTTTCTAACACCAACAACATTTTAAAATTGCTTTTATATTATATTAGTGTTCCCAGATTTTGAATCTACATGTGAAACATCTTAAAAAGCCAAATATCTTGAAAACATACCTTAACCTCAAGCACTTTAAATCATCCCGCGTCACATATTGGAGAATGTCCGTCAGATTATAATCATCTACCACAAACTGTACAGTGGAATAAAGAAAAGGAAATAAGTTACTTCTATTCACAGTTGAAAATGTGGAACTATTTTCTTCCCACCAGGTGTGGGTATAATAACAAATAATAATCCTTGCATTTGATATAGCACTTTTCACTTCTTCGCGACGTGTCAAAGTGCTTCACAGAATATACTGTAAAGTGAATTGACTGTATAATAATAATAATCTTTGCATTTGATATAGCGCTTTTCACGTCGGGAGGACGTCCCAAAGCGCTTCACAGAACACACTGTAAAGTGAATTGACTGTATATTTGTGGGCGAACGCGGCAGCCAATTGCGCACAGCAATGTCCCACAAACAGTCATAGATTGAAAATGACCAATTTATTATTGGTTTTGGTTTTGGAGGGATTATTATTAGGTGTGTGGAGTAAGGAAACTTGCCCAAGGTTTCGCCCTGCCTGGAATTGAACTCAGGTCTCTCACTTGCAAAGCGAGTGCTCTAACCACTGAGCTACAGGACTCCACAATGTTTTGTGGGTGAAACATGGAAGCCAATTGTGCACAGCCGTATCCCACAAACAGTCGTGGATTGAATGACTAAATTATTATTTTTTTTCTTGAGGGATTCAATGTTATGCTTAGGATAGGCTGTACACAACTAGCAGATGAATAATAGCGCATTTGTGTTTGTACTGTAGCAGTGGTGAGCTCATGCGGCCAGATTTTCACAGACTCAGGTGGGAGTATTTACACCACAGATGTACTCGATTTCAGCCCATAGCAATTTCTGCACGAGCATGTTATAACATCACTGAAACAAACAGACTGCATGACATTTATTGAAATTAGATGAATCATGCACAAGACAGAAAAGCATTTTGGGAGGCATTGATAAAGGGCAGGAATCTACATATCTCTTAGCAAGCTTCCATTTGATGATGTTCACTTACAACTACTGTGATTTCTGGATTAAAACTGTAATTTTTGCATCACCACACCACCACACCTACTCCAGATTTCACTACGGGGTGCAAATCTTTCCTAGTGCCTCCTCACATAATGAAAGAAGAGCATATACTTTCCCACTATTCCCTCCCCCTCCAAAACCAGAACCTTGTGCATTAAACTGATCTGGTTCCCTCATTGTGCAGTGCTGTTGAAGTAAGTACAACTGTTTTAACAATTCACTGTCTCAATTAAGATCTTGCAAGTATAATTTTTGAAAGTTCCACATCGGGCCTTATAATGCTCTAGCTACTTAGGGTCACACTAGGTTGGTGAGTTCCTGCACCTCTTACGAGATAATGTCAACTTCTACTCCATCTTGACAGTGTTTTGTTAGGCAATTCTGCGCTTTCTTTTGATGCTATTTCAACCCTGACACAAAACTCTACCTTTGTGCTTCCATTCTCAACTACAGGGCCACTGCTGCTCTGACAAAGATATTTCTGCAGACATCAAGTCCTGGATGATCCATAAATTTCAACTCGACAAAATTGATGCTCTCCTGCTTGGCTTCCATCAGCCCCTCATTACCTCATCCCTGTATCAACCTCTCAGGATGTTCCCACCTACTCGCAGAGTCTGTGCAGAACCTGAGTCTTATGTTTGATCCTTAACTCTTTATATCTTTTATCTGAGCTCTGATCGAGACTGCTTTCTATTGTTTCTGCAATATCGCCAGTTCTGCCACTGCCTCACTCCTAATGCAGCTTAAACCCTTATCCACGCCTTTGTCATCTCCAGACTAGATTTTTAAAAAAAATTTCCAGCATGCTGCTCACTGGCTTCTCCAGCTTCACTGCCAGCCCATCCTCACAGAGCTCCACTAACTCCCCAACAGATGATCCCAATTGTCATGTCCAAATGTCTCCATGTGCTTGCACCATCCTATCTCTGCGATCTACCACAATCTCACTCCGCCATCTACTCCCTTCACTCTACCAATTACAGCCTTTATCAATTACCAATTAGGAGTCCTGTAGCTCAGTGGTTAGAGCACTCGCTTTGCAAGTGAGAGACCTGAGTTCAATTCCAGGCAGAGGGCGAAACCTTGGGCAAGTTTCCTTACTCCACACAGAGCCTAATAATAATCCCTCCAAAAAACAAAAATAATAATTAAATTGGTCATTTTCAATCAATGACTGTTTGGGGGACATTGCTGTGCCCAATTGGCTGCCGCGTTCGCCCACAAATATACAGTCAATTCACTTTACAATGTGTTCTGTGAAGCGCTTTGGGACATCCTCCTGACGTGAAAAGCGCTATATCAAATGCAAGGATTATTATTATTATTATTATAATCCCTCCAAAACAAAACAATAATAAATTGGTCATTTCAATCCACGACTGTTTGTGGGACATTGCTGTGCGCAATTGGCTGCTGCGTTTCTCGCACAAATATAGTCAATTCACTTTACAGTCTATTCTGTGAAGCACTTTGAGATGTCGAGAAGACGTGAAAAGCGCTATATCAAATGCAAGGATTATTATTATTATATTACAGCCTGTAATATGTCCTCCAACTCAGAACTTCAGCTTCTTTGTCTCCCCTCTCTGGAACGCTCCTGAAATCCCTCTAACTCACACCTTTCCTCGAAATCCTGCCTGAAGACCTAACTCTTAGTGTTTTGATCACCTACTGCCACTCCAACCCCGGTTCAAGCTCCAGCTCAGATTTTGTGATTCTTGACATTTTCCCAACTTGAAGGGTGTTATATAACTGTCAACTGTTATTCTGGAGTTTTTCATAAATTAGGTTAAAAATAAAAGATTTCTTTGTTATCATCCATCTGCTCTTGAGTAACTTGCAACAAGATTTGGTGACAAGTTTCTGCCCTGTTGCCTTCATCATTGACCAAGTTATTAATAATAATCCTTGCATTTGATATAGCACTTTTCATGTCTTCTAGACGTCCTAAAGCGCTTCACAGAATATACTGTAAAGTGAATTGACTGTATATTTGTGGGCGAACGTGGCAGCCAATAGCGCACAGCAATGTCCCACAAACATCATAGATTGAAAATGACCAATTTATTATTGTTTTTTGGAGGGATTATTATTAGGCGTGTGGAGTAAGGAAACTTGCCCAAGGTTTCGCCCTGCCTGGAATTGAACCCAGGTGTCTCGCTTTGGAAAGCGAGTGCTCTAACCACTGAGCTACAGGACTCCAATGCTGCGCAATGGAGTGAATAAGATTTTGCAATTGGGTAATCTTATCCTTGTATTGGGAGATATTTTGGTATTTTTCCAAACATTATCCAGTTTTTGTTTATTTTGCCAAATATCAAAATCTGCTGTAGCTTAAATATGCATAAATGTGATGACAAACTATGAAAACTAAGGCACACAAGCACAAATGGCAATAGTTGTGGAAATTAAGAAACGCATTGAATTATTCCACTGGTTTGCATGGAAACATCATGGATGGCATGTGCTCTTATCTGTCTTATATGCACCCCCCCAACCTTTGCAAGGATCATCTGTTTCAGCTTACCCGCTCTATTGTATCTTCATCAGCTCCTTGTTCTCTCAACCAGTCAATAAGTTCAGGATCTGCAGTACTCTCTGTGGAATCATGGTGACATACAGACAGTGCAGGTATATCTGAATAAAAAGAATAGTTCAGAAATAATGATAGCTTGATAAGATGGGGTCATCACAGGAAAGTAACAATACAGATTGGAAAATAAAATATGTTTCCAGTTTGCTGTCTTTGGATGGTCCTTCAAAAATCTAAAAATGAATCTGATAATCTCTTTTTTGGCAATGCAGACCTGTTAAAGTACTTAAAAAAAACATTAAAGATTTACCTATTGGCTGCGATTTCAGTCTAAGTAGTTTGATTTCTTGCTCCTTGTCTTCGATAGCTTGATGAAGAAGGATGTGATAATCCCTTTCTTTCTGAACAAGGTCTTCCAGAAGCCTGTAAAAATGGATACAAAATAATTAAGTGACCTGTTGCCTGGCTCGGTTGGATGCACTCTTGCCTCTGAGTCAGAAGTTTGTGAGTTCAAGTCCAAGGAGGACCTTTGAGCTTCGAGGTTGACACTCCAGGCCAGAGTTGGGATGTGCTGTATTGTTGGAGACAGCATCCTTTGGATGAGTTTTTAAACCAAGGACCTATCTGCCTATTTATGTCATGGCTGTTCATGGGATACTGGTGTACACAAATTGGTTGTTATGTTTGCCTATAAAGTACACTTTACAGTATTTCCCTGTAAAGTACTTTGAGGCATTCGATGTCCACATCAAATGCAAGGATTATTTTAAGGCCTGTTAGTGGGAGGGAGAGTTGCCAATTCAACTCGCATTCTGACCTCTCCATCCACAGTCTCCTACGCTGTTCCAATGGACCACAGAGCAAGCTCGAGAAACAGCACCTCATCTATCTGCTGGGGCCATGACAGTCCTCTGGCCTCAATATTGTTTTCAATAATTTCAGACCATAACAGCTCACCTTCCCCCTCCCCCTCTTCTGTGACCATTATCACATCATCTGGTCCTAGACACACCTATTCTCTCTCTGGTCTGCCTGTTTTGGAACAATTTCCCCCTTCATTTTGTATTATTAACACCTCCTTTCCCCTGTTTTGTTGCAATCGCCCCTTTGTTTTGCATCATTAACATCTCTTTAACCCATCATCCCCCGTCCTCTACCCCATTTTCTCCTTTGTTTTCCTTGCTCTGCTTCCCCCCTCTCTGTTAGTCCTTAAAAGCCTCTCCCTCCCAACATGCCCCAGTTCTGACGAAGGGTTGTGGACCTGAAACATTGACTCATTTCCTTTCTCCATAGATACTGCCTGATCTGCTGAGTGTTCCCAGCGACTTCTGTTTTTGTTTCAGATTTCCAGCATCTACAGTATTTTGCATTTTATTTTAAGGCTTACCTGTTTGTTTCTAATTTAAGTCTTCCAAGCTGCACATTCAAAGACCTATGCATATTTTGGGAGTCGTGAGATAATGTTGAGCTAAGAGTGCTAACACCAGAGGTTGGTACTAGATCCTCATTTACAGCAGTGGGTCTTTGATTTTCGGAATGAGCTGGCTCATTGTGACCTTCATCAACATCATCATCGTCTACTCCTTCGTGGTCTGCAGCATCACTCCCAGAGGCTAGGCTGAAGTGTGGTCTCAGTTCTGCAATGGAGCAAATACAGCAACATATTATACCATAAAACTCAATAAAAAAAATTTATTGTGGAAGATAACTACATTTTTTTTAAAAATTTGCTTAAAATGAATGATAGAGATGAGATAATCAAATCTACATTAATAATAATCCTTGCATTTGATATAGCGCTTTTCAAGTAGGGTGGGGGAGGGGGGATGGAGACTGAATTGGTCCTTTTTCATGCCTTCTAGACGTCTCAAAGCTTCACAGAATATACTGTAAAGTGAATTGACTGTATATTTTGTTAGCCAAACACAGCAGCCTCTTGTGCACAGCAGTGTCCCACAAACAGTCGTGGTTTGAGTGACTAAATTATTTTTTTTCTTGAGGGATTCAATGTTATGCTTGGGATAGGCTGTACACAACTAGCAGATGAATAATAGCACATTTGTGTTTGTACTGTAGCAGTGGTGAGCGCATGCTGCCAGATTTTCTGGCAGCCGGGCAAAGATGGGGTGATGGGGTCAAGGAGCCTGTTGAGGGAGAGGACACGTGCTGCAGAAATCTGGATGATCTGCAGCTTGTGGAGGGAGGAGTTGGGGAGGCCAAGAAGCAGGGAGTTGGCGTAGTCGAGCCGAGATGTGACGAACGCGTGAATGAGGGTTTTGGCGGCCTGAGGAGTGAGGAAGTGGCAGAGCCGGGCAATGTATGGAGATGAGGGATGGCAGAGTGGGTCATAATAATAATCCTTGCATTTGATATAGCGCTTTTCATCCCAAAGCACTTCACAGAACACACTGTAATGTAAATTGACTGTATATTTGTGGGCGAACGCAGCAGCCAATTGCGCACAGCAATGTCCCACAAACAGTCGTAGATTGAAAATGACCAATTTATTATTGTTTTTGGTTTTGGAGGGATTATTATTAGGCGTGTGGAGTAAGGAAACTTGCCCAAGGTTTCGCCCTGCCTGGAATTGAACTCAGGTCTCTCGCTTGCAAAGCGAGTACTTTAACCACTGAGCTACAGGACTCCTCATGGCACCGATGTGGGGTAGAAAGGACATTTGAGGGTCAAACAAGTTGCCAAGGTTCCTGACTGGCTTAGTAAGGTGGAGTGTGCATCCACGGATGGTCATCCTGTCAGTGTCTGAGGTGAGGATGCGCCCACAGGAGCCAATCAGGAGAGCCTCGGTCTTGTTGACGATCAACTGAAGAAAATTAGCTCTCATCCAGGACTTGATGTCTGACAGACATTCGGTCAGGACAGCAGTGGTCCTGAAATCGAGAGTGGAGGCAGAGAGATAGAGTTGGGTGTCATCCGTGTACATGTGGAAGTTGATCCCATGTCTGTGGATGATGTCACCAAGAGGGAGCATATACAAGTTATTGATTAAATATTTTTGTATATTTTAAATTTCTGTCCTTCCTTCCCATTTCTATTACTCGTTGGCTGAGTGGGTGGGCAGGGCCTCTGACAACATTCTGAAGCAGCAAGTAGTGAACGCGTGCAAAATACAGCCTTGTGTGGCTGTCCCTCATTCTCTCACTGCTTGGCTTTTTTTCAACTCCCTATGCACAAATCCATGGATTGACATAGCAGTGCTCCAACAAACAACAACTTCCATTATATTTTCACTTTCACATCGCAAGGACAACAACAACAACAAAATTACATTTATAGAGCGCCTTTCACGTCGGGAGGACCTCCCAAGATGCCGAGGACGTCACAAGCTACCAGCCATATTTGTGCTCAACAAGCTTTGCTTGCTAACTGTGGCATTATAGGTGTCATGGCTTCTGAAGCATATTCAGGAGGTTATAGAAAAGGCCCACTAACACTGTCATTTATTAATCATAATTGTGAATTATAAGAAAACATTTTGTGAGATCAATCCATTTTGCTAATCGCACACTAAACGGCCTTTCATTACAAAAACAAAATATGAAAGCATTTAGCGGATTAAGTAGCAGTTTCTTTGTTGTGACAGATGGTAATACTATTCAACTCATTTCTTAGGAGTACGATAATTGAAGCTTAAAACTGTGAAATTCTGAAATAGCCCAGACAGCTGCACTGCAAGAATGACTCACCAGGAACAAGAATAGTAATAGCAGTCTGCACAGCTTTGCGAATGATGTTATCCAAGGCAAACATCCAGTGAGGTTTAATATTGTGAGTTCTCAAGACTTTATTTACCTGGTGTCAAGGAAAGAAAGAAAAGCTTTTAAATCATTCTCATTTGTTTTAGTCTCTTTGCGGGAAAGCTGTAATGACATTAGAACCAAGCAAATGTTGTAAAAAGGCCAAATGTGTGAAACATGAGCTCGCACTGCTCCTGGGGTAAACTATGTCAAAAGTAATTTAACACCAGTTACACATTCTTTTCACTACAACAACAACAACAACAGGGAGTTGTTACATTTGTTTAGCGCCTTTCACGTCAGGAGGACGTCCCAAGGCACTGGACAGAGTACAGCATTTCAGACCCGAGCTGGGGTTGGTGGGGTAGGAGAGGGGAAGGGGGATACCATATAATATACAGAAATGCTTTACATGATTTATAGCATTACTTCTAACTGTTAAAATTGCTGTGATCTCACCATGTATTATCCAAAAACTACCCAAGGATGAACCATAAACTAAGATTAGTGCATTTGGTGCATTACCAAACATCCAGGTATTTTCTCCACACAAATGCAGAAAGAGAGTGAGAGAGAAACTGATAAACTGAAAGATATTTAGTTAATTAACTAAAATAAAGTACCAACGCATTATGCTAGTCACAGCACAGTAAGAGATTAAGCATACATACTGTAGATACAGTACATGGGCCACACATACAGTCTACACATTAAACTCCGGTCTACACATTAAGCTTACCTGTTCAGAATTTACTATTACATTCCATCAAAATGAATAGGAAATGCTTTGGTTAGTACAATAGAAGCTGGTACAATTTTCCCTCAGCTTGAAGCTAGATGTCAGCCTGTCTCAGTTGGCAGCACCTTCACCTTGGAGTCAGAGGGTGTGGGCTTAAACCTCACATTAGAACTTTGAACTAAACTAGGCTGACACTTCATTGCAGTGCTGGGGGAGCATTGCATCACCGGACATGTTGTCCTTCAGTTTAGATGTTTCAATGATATGAAAACATTGCTATATCAAATCCAAGGATTATTAATATGATTAACGTCAATATAGACATCAAATTACTTAAGAGATGTAATACTTGCATTACATTTGTACGTATTTAGTGATCTTAAGACACATCAGAGCACTTAATCTGAATCAAGGCAAATCAAGATCCAAACATGAATCAAGAGCAATGGAGTAACTCTTGTTCTTGAGGCAGTGGTGCTAAATAATTTCACAAGAACACAAGATCGGTCTGGATGAAGAAGGCCCTTCAGCCCATTTGATCTCATCCCTCCAGAATACATACCTACCAATCTCCTATTACTGCATCAAAGTGATTTTTACATGAGTCCAGTATGCTGGCGTCTACCACCTTTCCTAGCAGCCTGTTATAGTCTTTGATCTCTGCCTGTATAAAGAAAACTTTATTGGTGTCTGCCCTGAAACTGTCCTTTACCATTCCAAATCTATGTCCTCTTGTTCTAGTATCTTGATACATCCTAAAGTACTGATCCGTATCTACCTTTTCTATCCCATTTCAAATGTTATACACCTCTACGAGGTCCCCCCTATCAGAGTAAACGTGCTAGATTCAAAGTGTAGGTAAAGTTCATAGAATTATACAACACAGAAGGAGACCATTCGGCCCATCGTGTCTATTGTATCTATTCTATTCTAAATTGAATCTATTCTGGTATGGTATTCCTCATTCTTCACCATAGTTCCATATAAAGTTTCCTTTCTTACTGTGCTTAATTCTTTATTTGATATTTGGCCTATTGGAACTTCCCCTTTTGTATTAAATTTCCTTCTTGTTTGGAGTTGGGCCTCCGTGAAGGAAAAGAGCTGTAATGGCTAAAGTAGATTTTAAAGTAATTTTTCCTGATTACTAGGAACTTTCTCGATAAACTCCTGTGCTGCTGTACTGGTCTGCAATATCTTCAGAGGGAGTTCCGAGAACCTAATGAGGTATTAATGTAAATACTTGGGAAAGAAGAAGCTTCTGCACTTCAAGGGCAAGAACTTCCTATGAATAACTATTCTAGAAAAACAACAGTAGCTTGAATTATGGCGGAGTCTCTGTGAAATGAAGGGAGAAACCCTTCACCACCAGCTGCACAACAAGACTAATTCCATTCAACTGAAAATTGTCAGTGATTCCTGTATGCAAAATTGTGCTGATTGACTGTTGAGATAGCGAGGGAAGGGTCCACCAAGTCCGATTCTTTTGAAATGAGGGATGAAGCTCTCTGTGCTTAAAAAAGAAATCCATAGCTCTCAAAAGATAATGCAAAGTGCCTTTGAAACCACACTACATACTGCTCTCAGAGTTTATTTGTACTTCTTAAAAAAAATTCAAAAGTGCATTCTGCAATGGTTCTGTGTGAAAATGCATTGGGTGGTGTGGTAATGAGTGGAAAGCGCCCTCGCCTGCTCATGTCTGCCCACTAAACCAGAAGAACTGGAAGTTATATCATTATATCACCCTTGTCTTCAAATCCCTCCACTCCTTTGCATCCCCCTATCTCTCTGACCTCTCTCCTCAAAACAGTGCTCGTTGCCTTTGTTCCTCCGGGTCTGGCCTCCTCCTTGTCCTCCGAGTCCTCCGCTCCACTCTCGGCGGCCGTGCCTTCAGCCACTATGGCCCGAGGCTCTCGAACTCCCTTCGTCACTCCCTTCGCCTCGCTTCCTCTCTTCCTATTTTCAGGTCTCTGCTGAAGACCTTTCTTTTCGACCGCACCTTTGGTCACCTTCCTCCCCTTCCCCCTGGCTCGGCCCCGGGATCCGTTACTGTGAAGCGTTCTGAGATGCCGTCCGGCGTGGAGGGCGCTATGTAAATCCAAGTTTTGTTGTTGAGTACATGTTAAATCTACACAGCTGTTGTAGCTGGCCCTATAGCAGAGAGACAAGGCCAAAGCTCTCATAGAGAAAACTATAAAAATGTTCCCTCAGAAAACATCAGAGGTGGCACCTTTTCAGTTGGCAAATTGCTCTGTATGTAGATGGTTGATCGATCAATCATTAATGAGAGGAGTTTTGTTTGGCATGCAGATCCCATTTACACTGATATTTTCCTAAAGAGAATATTTTAAACTCCATTTGTTCACAACAAATAATTCCTGTATTTTACCACTAGGAGGCTTTAGGCTACATGTCAGAATTAGAGCTAACACAACCAGAAACTAACACATTCCAGAAAAACTCTTGGACCCTTATTTTCTCTTTGCAAACTTAGAGTGTTTCTTGTAGTATTTTCCATTGCTTGCATAGCTGGTTTAGTTGAGAATGTTTAACAACATACACTGTCTTGTCATTGAAGTCTCTCATTTGCATAAGGGGAATAATAAACCCCCCAAACTCTTAAGATTGTTGTCATCAGATTCCCCGATTGACTTTGTGAAAATATCTACATCTATTGAAAGATAAGTGGGTGAAAAATGAAAACTAATATTAAAGAGGTCAACTTTTCATTAAATATCTGATCAGACACATGTTCAGTAAGACCAAAAATATTAAGATATCAAGGAATACAAAATACCTCCAATAGATCAGGAGATTAAATGTTACCCCACTAACATCTCATTTTTCCAAATGTAAGATTGTTCAGCTCTGGCTGTGAATCAATATTTTTTGTTGAAAAGTCAGCTTCCAACACAGCACATAGATCACACCCACTTATGAATGTGGCTTGCATGGTAAAATCCAGTTTCCCATTACATTTGCGACTTATTTATCTTTGATTTATAGCTACAATAGAACCAGCAAGATTATATTAGAAGTGAAGCACTGACATGTTCCAGATCACAATACATAGCCCTCAGTAAATTTAATCCAAAAGGGGTTTAATTTAAAAAATCAAGACAACTACTGTTTTGGAACGTTCCAACTAATCGCCTGTGAAAAGAAACTGAATGCTACATAAAATTCCCCAGACAGAAGCCCATGTTGCCTTTTTGTACAGGAAATCCACAAAAAGGTACTGAAATGAAATTTGTGCAAATTTTAAAAATATGTAACTAAACCGGGCTGGTTTTGTAGAGGTATCTCGAGTTTGGTTTACCACAAGAGTTTTGGCAGGGGTCTCTTTAACGTATCATTTAAAAACCATTTTGGACTCGGTACACTAGTAGGAAATAGAAGTCTCCCAGAATAACCATCAAGTCTATCAAAGGGACAAAGGGACTATTGTTTTCATGTGTGCAATTTTCTTTTAAACCTCAGCTTGCCTTTGGGACACATGCCTATGGCTTCTGACTTCAGTTCTCTTTCCTCATGTTACAATTTTCTCAGAAACAATTTTGCATAAAAATAAATACTTACAGCTTCCTGGAAAGCAAACAACACCACCTGAATCTGGTTAATGGCATGACTGTCAAAGTCCAGCTCAAGCTTCAGCCTGGAAAGAGTTGTTGAGATGATTTTCCGATCCGTTGATCTCACAAACTCACGCAGACTAACAACAAGTGTACTGATGTGCTCAGACTTCAGCTTTAGTTCTTCAGCACCCTGCAAATTAAGAAAATGGATGCATTAACTCTCTTGGCATTCCAGAATGTAGCTTGTGAAGGCAAGTTATAAACTCTTGCACTTTTATTTGCAAGAGTCAAATAAAAAAATATTTTAACTAAGTGCACATGATAAAACCACACAGCGTTTGGGTAAACCTTAAAGATTTATTTGTGTTCTTCCTATGGTTCATCTGGCAGTTTGCCTAGTCCACAGCAGATTTTCAACTCTCACCTATATTTTTGAGGAGGTCGTAAAGAGGTAACTTTCAGGAATCCAGGAGTTCCATCCATCAGATCAAATTCAATATCCTCGTCCTCATGTTCAAATCCCTCCATGGCATCGACCCATTTCTGAGCCTTTGTGTAACCCTATTGTCCTGGCTGCTCCCTCTACTAACATCCGCTTGTTTTATTCTGCCTGCTCAATCCATTTTACCATCATCTTTCTATCCCACAAAGCAAGCTGCATTTTAGCAGTATGGAGGAGCTTTCATATATCCGCATGCTTCCTTCAGACATTGTCACTGGTTACTTGGCTTTGAGGAAAGCAACCAGCATAGTACCATGAAAGATTGTAAAGCAGAGGAAAAGGACATTCTGTTGCATACAGCAAACTGTATTAACTGGATGTGTTCAATGGATGGAACTTTGTGGAGTCCTGTAGCTCAGTGGTTAGAGTACTCATCTTGCAAGCGAGACACCTGAGTTCAATTCCAGGCAGGGCGAAACTTTAGGCAAGTTTCCTTACTCCACACGCCCAAAATAATAATAAATTGGTCATTTTCAATCCACGACTGTTTGTGGGACACTACTGTGCGCAATTGGTTGCTGCCTTTCGCCCACAAATATACAGTCAATTTACTTTACAGCATATTCTGTTAAGCGCTTTGAGACGTCTAGAAGGCATGAAAAAGGACCAATTCAGTCTCCTTCCCCCCTCCCCCAGCCTACTTGGACTTCCAGTCAGCTGCGTCATTTGCTTTATTTAACCACAATAAAATTTCACTGAGGCTAAAGAATTACATTTTAAAAATAAGTACATGGGAAATCAGTTAGATTGCATGCAAGCGAGATTGAAGCAAGTTCTTCACAACTTAATCCTAGTGTTTTAAATTATTATAATCCTTGCATTTGATACAGCACCTTTCATGTCATAGAGACGTCTCACAGCACTTGACAGGATATACTGTAAGGTGTAGTAATTTGACTGTAGATTGGCTGTATATTTTATGGGTAAGGAACTCTCATTTCCTCTGCTACCCCATCCCTCCCTCGAAAAGGTGTACGACACATCATAGTTCTATAAAGAGGTTGGGTAGGAACTTGTTCTCAGGCTCCACATCATATGTGCAGGAAAGTGGTTTGGATTGACTCTTCCCTCTGTGGAAGCAGCTACCTTGGCTGGTGTCTTACTGTCCTAACAACTAACAATTTTACATTAAGAAACAGCTGTTTACACCTTTTCATCACTAGCCACAAGTAATACCAACAAGAAAGTATATATTTCACATCTTTTTATTAGATACAAGTCCAGATCTTATATATTTTGTTTTTAAAGAGCAAGGTATAAGAGAAGAAAACAATCAAAAGTCTACCAGATGGTTTTGCAGCTCTCAAAATAATAATCCTTACATTTGGTATAGCACCTTTTATGTCAGGAGGAAGTCTCAAAGCACTTCACAGGATATACTGTAAAGTGTAGTGACTTTGTGCTTTGTGGGCAAACACAGCAGCCAATTTAAGAATAGTTTTTAAATGCAGGCAACATAAAAACATTTAAGAATTTTTTAATATAAAGTTGGGACAATTAGTTAGTTTACCTGCAAGAGAGATTCAAGCAAGTTCTTCACAACTTTATCCTGGTCCTCTGAAAGTATCCTGTGTAGGGTGGCTCTCCGTTCACTGTCTTTCTTCAGCATGAAGAACCCAGTGTCCTTCTCCTCAGGGGAAGGTGGCGCACTGTGATCTTCAAAGTGATCATCGGGTAGACTAAGGCATGAACAAAGAATTATGAACTGTCTGATAACAAGAAAATGACTTCCATAACCTGAAAAGGATGGCTGAGGATTACAACATTCATCAGATCTGTGACCAAGCCCTGTATAATTGTTTACCCAAATAGCTCTGGAAGACAGCTTACTGTAACATCGTCATCCAACCCACAATACATTATGTGAAGGAGAAAAACAGCATCTTCTGACAAAATTAGTTTATTTAACAAATTTAACAATCCTTTCTGTGATATGAAAAACTACAGCCTGCAGTTTGTTCACAGTCAGTGAAACAGCCATTGTTTTTCCTTCATGTATTGACTTTCTACAAAATATGATGTAATTTGAAGCAGCTTGTGTTCTGTGCAGTGGTCATAAAACTTTATAGATTTGCTATAAAAATGTCCACACAGTTCTGATACGCAAGAAAGCAGTTGACTTTAACTGCTTTGTTTCAGTCACAATTGCTGGAAAGTTTCAACCACAGTGGCAAAACCCAAGCAACCTTAAATGTTACTTGCCTTTGGTTACTATTTCCCTCATACAAAATGCTGAACACAGGTCTCTGTGGTAAGAAATTAAACGTAAAACTTATACTTTAGAATACTGTAGATTCCTTTAAGAATCTACAGCACAATCCACATATTTTCCTAAATTAAACTAAATCTAAATGTTACAGTACTTTTTTTTATTTTGGAAATGGTTTCATTCAGAGGAGCTGGTATAAATGAACCTAAAGACCTTAACTAGCAGTAGGATTTGTGACATCAATTCTCTGCAAAATAATTCTCATTTCATCAGTGCCTGTGATAACTGACACAAATGAAGAATCACACCCACAATGTTAATCTAGATTTGATTTTCAAATGTTGACTGAGCTAATGTGCATTTCCACATTTTCAGATTTTGTTGCAGTTTTGTGTTAGGTGACAAGGAACACAGACCCTTCAGACCTGTTTTATGAATTGCACCTCAAAAGTCCAGAATGCGTTCATGCTCAGGGTGTAGAGGGGAAAGCATAGTATTTTAACTCACTGAAATGACAAGTCCTCTGCTGAAAAATGTTAGGAACAAGTTCTGTTCAAAGCTGGAAACTATTCACTATTACAATATACATTTGAGGAGAAATTCTATGGAGTGTTACATTTGGCAATATCAGCAACTAATGGGATTTTTCCATTATAGCCACACATCACCAAGACACCATAATGCTCAACAGAATTTTTACCAATTGTAATTTAACTCAAGGGCAGTCCTCTCTTGTGAACCTCCATTCTTCAGTGATAGTGCAGTACTAGTAGAAGTATCAGAGATAATTTGTCTAGCCATTCAGTAAATGGTGATGCATGGCATAGCAGGATCTATAAAAATGTGGGGCAAGGGAATATGGATTATCATAATAAAAGGGAATTTCTCCCGTCCAACCTTTCCAAACCATATGATACCTGTGCTGTATTTACCTGAGAAGTAATTGTCTACTTCCTCTCGTCTCTTTCTCAATGCAGGATTTTGCCCTGGTTTTGAAAAAGAATGGATCTGCCTTTAAGTCGGAATCTGGTGAAACTGAGCCAAATTCACTCCCACTGCTCAGGTCCTCCACAACAACCGGAACAGGCAGAGATATGCTTCGCAGATAATCTGTATTGGAAATTCACATGGCATTAAGTAAAGAGGTACTAGATAAGAAAACAGTTGAACAGTTTGGCATGATCATAGAATTTTACAGGACAGAAACCGGTTATTTGGCCTATCAGGTCTGCACTGGTGTTTACTCTACAAGAGCTACCTAATAAAATCCCATTCTCCTGCTCACTCCCCACACACTAAGATTAGGTATCAGATTGTCTCAGTGGGTAGCACTTTAGTCTCTGACATTTATGGATTCAAGCCCCACATTGGGATGTCGAGCTCACATTGCCTAAACTGACACTTCAATGCAGAGTTAGGGGTGTGCTGCATTGTTGGAGGTGCCATCCTTCAGATGAGATGTTAAACCAAGGTCCCAGCTGCATGTTCAGGTGGACTTTAAAGATTCTATGGCACTATTTGAAAAGAGAACAAGCTTGGTTTAAAAAAGCTAAGATGCTTGAGAAGCTGGGATATAAATAATTATAATTGAAAAAAGCCTAACCAAAATGTAGAGTCAAAGTGCATGGGAACATGAGTAAACCTGTTTATAATTCGTTGTGCAATTTTATTAGATGTTGTCAGATCTTTTAATTCCAATTCTCTTCTCCATTCCTCTAATATCCTTTGAAATGTTTAATGCTACACATTGTTTAGATATGTTTATTTAATACATCAGTTCAGTATAGAGAAAGGTATTGAAATCAAAAGCCCAAACAGATGAGAGGAATCTCTTTTGTTTTGAAAGTCCTATGTAAGTTAATTGCAAGACAGCTCCCAGGTGCTATTACACAGACCAAACTAAATATCTGTAAATTTTCTAATCTCTCTTTGAGTGCCTATAATGAGGTCATTTGCTGATCGCAAAGACTCAAACGTTTAGCTGGGAAGACCCATCATAAACAAGTGAGAAAATATTTGCAAGTATTAATGATGGGTTGCCGTTTTTTTGCTCAGTCGGGTGCCTGAAACATACAGAACCACATCACCATGCTTAAGTGTATACAAACCAGACTGGGAGTTTCACATAACGTATGCCACCTAAATAAACAGAGCTTTTTAGATGGAAATTTCCTGAGTTTGGATTGTAATGTGCATTCTTTCCCTGGAGAGACATATCCTGCTTACCTAATTCCAGATAGTTAATGATTAGTGCATATAAATGCAATTCTGGGAAATTGAGAATAAACATGGATTATACACCAGTGTTTAGTTTAAGAGTACAAATGTGACTAGACACAGAAGTGGGAACATTTTCCCTTTTCCGTCTCGGTTAGTCAGTACCAGATAATCAGAAATATCGAAACATAACACAAACACACACACACACACACACACACAAACACATTTATCAGTAACCAGTATGTTATTCTTCAGTGAATGCTGGGCTAATGAGTGGTCACAGAGGCTCATAGTTCATGGATTTTTGGTCCACAAGGAATGTGTCCCTGAGCCACTCTCATGATCCATTGAGCTCAGAAACTAGCAGTGCATTTTACAGAATTGCATTTGCCTGCCTTTAGAGTGTGAACAAAGCAATACCACAACAATTTGCATTCATATGGCTCTCTTCATGTAGGAAAATGTCTCGGAGCACTTTACAGTGACAAAGAGCATGGTCAAAGAGGTTGGTTTTGAAGTGGAACTTGAAAACAGATAAAGAGGAGAGGTAGAGGGAGGGAGTTCCAGAGATTAGAACGTAGAATCTGAAGTCTCAGACACCGATGGTGGCACAGACAGGGAGAGGACATGCAGCAAGCCCAAATTAGCCAAGTGGAAGGGAGCAAGCAGAGGAGTAGGATAAGAGGAGATCAAAGAGTTGGGAGGTGCTAAGGCACGAGGCATTTATAGGGTGAGGACCTCGAAATCAATCCGCTGGGAAAGAAAGGAGTGGGAAATAAATTTGATGGGGAGACTTCAAATTAAGAAAAAGTCTTTCAACAAACACAAAATGAAATATTTATATTCGCAAACACTAGCACACTTTTGATTACTGGATTATAATTCCTATTTTGAGCATGCAATGGAAAAAAAATACTAGCATTACCAATCACATTGTGATCCACCACGGGAGTGACTTAGTCACAGAAATTGTGATTGTGTGACCTTATCGGAATTTCCGAATAAGATTATAACCTTGCAACATTCCCAGATATCATCTCTAGCCATTTACAAAGCTGATCTTCTCTGAGTTTCCATTATGGCAGAATTGAAGAATAATACAAAACACAACATACATTTCCAGATTTATATAACAAAAATAGAGTGCTTTAAAAATAATCTCCAATTCTCAATTGGTAAACCTTTTTTCCCCCCAAAATACTAATATTCTTCAGTAGGGCACTCACCTTGTGGACCACTTGAAAGATCTAGAAAAAAAGAGAAAATAGATTATTAAGTTTCAAGGAAAGAAAATACTTCAATTTATGACAATGGAAATACAGAATACTTAACTAAATGTTAGTCATGGTATTTGTAATAACACATACATCATAATCCTCAGACTATGTAATACATCTGTTATATGGTATTTATTTGTCAGGTACTTATTGTAATGCAATTCATCACAATTTACATTAAATAGTGTATAGTTTCTGGAAGCCTTCATTTCTATTAATATCTTCCATGCATTTGTAGCTCCATTTCTCTCTCTTCAAGTACACATATGTTCCATTATAAAATACACAATCAAAGTTACTAACTTAGGAACTAGAGGAATGCAATTCTCCAACAATACTTTTCTTTGTCTGCTTCAACATCCTTTCCCAGAACTTATTCTCCAAAATTCCCCTTTCCCTTCAGGGGAAATTTCTGCCTCATTTCCCATCCTATTCCTAAAATTCCTAAATTAAATTGGTTTCCTCTGGCATTGTCAATTACCAAAGTATACAATTCCCTTCATAATCTTGAAAAGTTCAATGAAATTAGCTTTTCTTAAAAAAGATGCTTTGAGATACTGATAATGTGATAAGTCTCTATATAAACTGTAAGCATTATTATTCCCATGGGGTCCCAGTGCCTTGGGACGTCCTCCCGACGTGAAAGGCAGTATAGTCGTGTAATTTTGTATCATATTGTATTAACCACTATTGTTGCTCACCTCTATACCTTCTAAACAGGAAGAACATGGCTGGGACTGACCAACAACTTACACAACAATACATCTTGAATGATCCAATATTATTGGCTTTTCATATATACTGCCGTCAAGAGTCTGACAGTTTCCATAACTAATCATTGTTTTATGATTTTATTCCATACTGTCAAAGTTAGTCTTACCAAATGTTGTCGCTTGCCATTAAGAACATAGTTGCTTTTTACAAATTATACTGGATTATCCCCTCAAGGAGTTTACAATGTGTTGCCGAATGAACTTAATCACAGATAAGCTGACATTAACTGCTTTTAATAGGGGCAGTGGGGGGTGGGGCAGGAGAGAATAAGGAATTGATTGGGATTACTTTCCTGAATAACAAACACATTATATCCTAAGATTGCTGAATTTGCTTTAGTGCACTATCAAATATCCTGGTGAGAGTATGCATATTAAATAAAATAAGAACCTGAGTAACACCACCAGAACCGTGACTTAGAAATTTGTGAATGATGCATGGAAATGTCCTTTCTGTAAATCATTGCCCGCCACACAAAAACACAACTGCTGAGGTACTCGGATTTTAACTTGTCTGGAGTAAAAAAATTATACTCATTTATGAACTGGTCTTTTACATGTGAAGTGGTTTTAATCAGATTGTTATTTAAAATAAAGTTATCAAACTGCAACATTGCATCTCTGTAAGAGTGTACTTTAACCCCCACAAATCTCACACGATGGGAAGGAATACCACAAATTAACCTGCACATACTGGTTTCTAGCCCAGGTTTAGTTAAGTATTTTGCGAATATAGGTCAAACCACAATAATATGCTGTATCTGCAAACGTTATCTAGTAACATCCTGCAATATTAGATCTAGTGAGCCTTAACAACTAATTCAGTTACAATATTAAAAATTAGTCACCTTTTCAGCAACAGTAATTGTTAATATGTTCTTACTAAATAAATTGCACATCACTGCATTACTGATACAAAGAAGCATAGATTCTGGTATTCCCTTTGCCCTCTGATCAAATTTTCTCTACAAAGTTGCTTCTTTCACTCTCTTACCACAAGTGGATTCAGTACAATCATGAACTGATTAAACTGGTGGTGGGGTATAGGGAGACTTTTGAAATTATGGCATTATTTAATAAAAATTTTGACCTCATCATTTCCTCCATCAGAGCATTCATATTGCCCATCTGGGAAAGATTTGCACAGCAGCAAATAACTGAAATAGATTACAAAACGTAAAATACTGCAGGTGCTGGAAATCTGAAAACAAAAACAGAAGTCGCTGGGAACACTCAGCAGGTCAGGCAGCATCTATGAGGAAAGGAAATGAGTCAACGTTTCGGGTCCACGACCCATCGTCAGAACAGGGTGAAATGGATTTATGTCTGTTACATTTTTAAGTTTTAGTCGCTATATCATTGTGTTCGCATTGTGGTTGAGAAACCAGCAACCTGACTTGGCTGGTGATGGCTCTTTTTTAAAAAAAAGTCAAGCTACAATTTCAAAACACCAGGAGAAAAATACACAACTTACACAAGTTATTTCCTCTCCGTTCTATGATATAAAATAATTTTACAGGACGGTCACTGAGTAAAACGTTTGTTAAGTCAAAATGCATTCAAAGTAAAAAGTTACAATTTACTACAAAAATACAAACTTAGCTCTCCCTATGGCTCTCTAAGTTTATCCAATGAGCTATACAGAACAAATAGTCCCACCCAGCTTTAATCCTAGGTCCAAGTTACCTCATCGTAGTAGGAGGCTACAATTGTCCTCAAAAGCAGGGTCAGAGAAATCAATCTGTTCCTACAACTGATCATTCTTGTGCAGCAGCCCCAGGTCAGGTTGGTCATTAATAATAATCCCATCATAGTTAACGTACACACCTTACTTACACATGCACTTGACCAATTTGGGTAATAGACCCCCACCATCCCCTCCCCCTCCCCCACCACATCATCTTTTTTTAAAAAAAGCTGTGCACCTGGATTGCCACAAGAATATACAGGCCACGTCTTTCTGATCCTCTTACCTTGTTTCAGCTGTGACTTCTTCTTTTTGCTCGTCACCCTCAGAAACTCATCCAACAGCAACTCTGTAGCAGTCGCACGTTTGTCTGGGTCAGGTTCAAAGCAGAGGAGTATGAAAGCTTTGGCCTCTGGTGACATGGATTCGGGAATTTCTGGGTGAATTTTAAACATTCCAACCTACAAAGGAGACAAATGGAGTTCCGAAACCACAGTACGTCATTTGAACATACAGAGATTTAAACATTTAACGTCAGTATCTGACTTGGTGGAGAAGCTGTGAAAATGGCTGCCAAGTTAAAATGTTTCTCAGATGTGATGGCTTCATTGATTCTTTCACGTCTGTCACTATTTCAGAATGCCAAAGGACAAGGATTTAGCCAGAGTTTTCAGCACCAGGTCGAAACAGTTTACCAGCTTGTTCTCATGAGCTGGCTGACATAACAGAGCTACATAGTTACATTGCTCCAAAGGAAGCCGTGATACCACGGAAATCTGGCACACATCACACACTTTCTGCTCTGAAGCAGGTGTCCTGTAGCTCAGTGGTTAGAGCACTCACCTCGCAAGCGAGAGATCGGGGTTTGGTTATAATAATAATAATCCTTGCATTTGATATAGCGCTTTTCACGTCTTCTAGACGTCCCAAAGGCGCTTCACAGAATATACTGTAAAGTGAATTGACTGTATATTTGTGGGCGAACGCGGCAGCCAATTGCGCACAGCAATGTCCCACAAACAGTCGTGGATTGAAAATGAGCAAATTAATTTTTGTTTTGTGGAGGGATTATTATTAGGTGTGTGGAGTAAGGAAACTTGCCCAAGGTTTCGCCCTCTGCCTGGAATTGAACTCAGGTCCCTCACTTGCAAAGCGAGTGCTCTAACCACTGAGCTACAGGACTCCATTCCCGGTTCCCGGCAGGTGAAATGTTGGGCAAGTTTCCTTACTCCACACACCTCTGTTTACCTAGCAGTAAGTAGGAACCCGATTGTTAGTCAATCAGAGGATCGCTTTTCCGGGGATAATAATCCCTAAAAAAAATAATAACTTGGTCCCTCACTCCACGACTGTTTGAGGGACACTGCTGTGCGCAATTGGCTGCCATGTCTTGCCCACAAAAATACAGTCAATTCAGTGCTTTGATACATTTAGAAGACACTAAAAGCGCTATATCAAATGCAAGGATTATTATTATTGTTTAATCGCTACAGGAGCTGTATCTTCTGAATGCCAACGCCAGCACAGGACTGTTATTACTTCACAAAATTTATTTTTCTTAAAAATTCGAATAATAAATTGGCAATAATTTATCTTAATAAATTGTCATTTGGATTTGACAAAAAAAATCAGGTTTTGTTGTAACAACCTATCAAATTATAAATGAGTGGTCAGGGTTCACACACTGTGTTCACACACAGACTATGTGCCTAGTACTACTCAATATCTCCACTGTCAAGTGTACAGTGATCATTTGGATGGAGGTCAAATTTGTGCCTAATTGCTCTGAAAAGGCCCTGTATTGAATGGAACACTGAACAATAATAATGACTTTTCAGTCTTTTGAAGTTTTATTAAAGCTCTTTGACCTACATGTCTTCGTACGATGCACTGTGTGAATACAACAGAGCTGTTTTTTTTTAAATCAAGGGGAATTGAATGTGATGATACTTTTATTGCACGGATACAGTAAAGATGCTGCTTATAAACCAAACAAGAAACACTGCCACTGAAGACAGATGCAATCTTGTATTATCTCAGCAAAGTCTCCTGGCAATCAGCTCTTGGTTTAAGAAAATGTAACCACACATTCAACTGGTTACCTCACAGGTCAGACACAGTGTTTTGAATAGAATTCCCATTCACTGTAGCACAACAACATGCATCAAGTGTGGCAGGGTGCAGGTTCAGATTCAGTACTCTTCTTTGCCTCTTATTTTGGCAGCTGTATTCAGGAATAGCACTAAGGGAAGGTCAGGTATAAGAAAGGTGGAGAATAATACTTGAGAAATAGAGACCGAGTCATTTCAGACCATTCTTACACTCTGCACAGTAGCTGGAAAGCATTGCACAAATAAGGAGTCACTTATGTTCCATTCTTTTCATGAAAATACTGCATGGAAACACCTAAATGTGGGAAGGAAAATGCTTAACTAAACAACATAGGTAGATTCACTCTGCAGAAGAAATTCAACTTCCACATACAAATTCTCTCACAACCTTTCCTTCTTCTCTGCCTGATCTGATGTGACTTGTTTTACTGACTTTTATTTGTAAAGCATACAAAATGTCCACTTTTATCATTGCCATTTGTGTCCTAAGGTTTGTAGTTGACTCCTTTACCAGCAAAGAAATAAAAGGTTGTTTCCAATGGAGACTGTGGCAGATTGCAATGAGGGACAAGTTTTGAAGAGAGTTAGTTACTCTGGCTGATGTCAATTATAAACTTTTAAAGTTTGAATAGCCAGAATTTGCGAATGAAATTAATTGTTATTGAAAAAATAAACCCAGAGGAATTGTTCAGGATACAACGGGACAGTAGAACAAGAACACATTGTTTTAGAGTTGCAAAGGCCAATTTCAGGAGAAACAGCAGGAAAATTGTCGTTACCCACAGGGCAATTAACAACAGGAACAGGTTGCCAGGAAGGGTGGTTGAGACCAACACACTTGATTCAGTTAAAAAGCAGTTTGATGCTGTAATGGGAAGACAATAGGATGGATATTTTTCATCAGGACCAATCTTGTGAACTTCTATTCACCTTTTAGTGTAACACCTTACCTTAAACATTGCAGCCTGAGGTTCTCCCAGTTCATAAAATGGGGGTTTTCCTGTCGCCATTTCAATGATTGTACAGCCCAGTGACCAGATGTCCGCAGGCTTCCCGTAACCCCTTGGTCCTTTGTCTATTATCTCAGGTGCCATATACTGAAGCGTTCCTAAGCAAAAACACACAGAATGCATATTTGTGAACATAGATGAATTTGCTTGACTTTATCAGTTAACTTTTAGAAAGATTTAAACAAAATATTTGTCACGTTTCTTAGAAATGTTAACAATCTGGTATTAAAACTATCCACCAGCCCTTTATCCAACCCAGTGTGTTTTTTTTAAAAGAAACTCTCCTTGCCGGATCATTGCTGCTAAAGTTATGTTCAGGTGGACGTCCACCTGCCTGCTCAGATGGATGTTAAAGATCACATGGCACTATTTGAAAAGAGAGGAGTTTTTCCCGATTTCCAGACTCCCAATTAAAGCAGGAAAAGACCAATGCCACAAAGCCATTTCTTAAATCGGATAACGGGAGTTTTGTTAACATCTGGATAATTGCTTCTCAAGCCTATTGAAATATTTTCTCCCTAATGCACTATTTCTTACCAATGTGCAGAATCAACAATTTCTGCTTCAACTATCTCCCAATGGAGCCTGTTCCATATGTTTACCTCAAGCCTTGGTTCTTGCCAACCTGTCCTAATATCTTTGGGATTTCCACGTGTAGGTGGGATGCATGGAAATCTCAGCTTGGTTTGGATACTCTTAAGCACGGTGATGGATTTTGGCATGTGTCAAGACACGGTTCAGCTACAAGTGACTGAAAGCTCACCCATCCATGGAAGAGCAGGGATGCTGAGTTTACCCGAGAGCTGTCTCACTCAATGCAATGCTTACCAGTAAAGAGATTAGCTGTGCACAGGATCTGAGTCAGACAGAGTAGCACAGTAAACACCCAAACCGCCCTGTTTGTTAAGAATGCAAAGCTATCATTTTATATCTTCACCTTTCGTAACCCTTACCTCGTAAACCTGTAAAACACACTGCAACCATGTCTCTCAGTCAGGACTTCTGTATTTTCTCTTTCCCGGCAGGCATACAAATGTAGAATAGACTCCCATTTTTTCACTGACTTTGGCCAATAAAATGGCATTATTTTGGGGGGAATTAAACCTTTTTGCATTGTTTAACTACAAATCACATTTGAACAACTTGTGTGACCCTGGGTCAGTTGGTAACACTCTCAACTGAGTCAGAAGGTTGTGGGTTCAAGCCTCACATTGAGACTTTGAACTCACAGTCTCGGTTGCGGCAGAAGGTTACACTGTAGGAGGTGCTGGCCTCCGGGTGAGATGTTAAACCGAGGCCTAATCTGCTTGTTCAGGTGGACTTTAAAGATCTCATTATTAGAAAAGAGGAAGAGAGTTTCTCCCAATATCTTGGTCATCAATCCTTCACCTTAAATAGATCATTTACTTCATGAAACGCAAGATTTTTAAAAAAATTATTGTAACTTAGGGCTGAGAGGAAATCAAAAGTGTCTCTTGTTGCCATTTATGGGTAATCATAAATAAATTAAACATAAATGAAAACAATCTACACAGTTACAGTCCATAAATATTAATCCTGAACCATGTAATTCCTGAAACATGATCCGTGCCTGTAAATACCTAGAACACAGCCAATACTGTCCACAAACTAGGAGTCATCAGCATATAAGAGAGTTAACAGAATTGGCACAATTAACATTGTCTGACATCTTAATCACTGTAAAATAGTCCAGGCTTTTGACATTATTTCCAAGTACCTTAAATTGAAAGCACTTGACATCTGGATTTAATTACTGGGAATGAACAATTCCAGTGATATATTTTAAATTTGGGCATTTCTCCAAGTGACTTGTTTATATTCACTCCAAGAAACCACAGAGGAAACAGTAATGCTGGATTTCTTCTATTTTTTTAAAAAAAGAACAAAGTATGTGTTTCTCCCCCAATAAATTCCTTGTTGACATGAAGAAAGCTTTCACTCTACTCAGCGGGTCAGTTTATCTGTGGGATATAATTATCTCACTTGTAGCATTACCCTAACCCATGCTCTTGCCAACCTGGACCCTCTATTCTCCGGAATTAAGTAAGGAGAAAACAAATTCTCACTGTAAAATTACACAGGTACCTTAGACTTTGCTTTGTATTTACTGCTGTGATCATCAGACTGGTACACACACTTAATACAAATGGTGTACATTACATGAGCTGTTAACTCCAGTGAATTGTTTAAGGACAAAAAGTAATCTGCTGCTTCACCATTTGGACATGGAAAACAGCATCTCCTTCAGCCAGCTGTTTACACTCTGACTTGAAAAAATGTTTCGTTCCTCCTAATGCCCAAGCCATTCCCAGGCTACAGAATAATGTGCATATTCAGAGTTTACATGACTAAGATTCAAGGCAGTCGCAGTTCCTGCTGTCTGCAATGCTCAGAAACATTCTAACCATTGGAACCACCTCCCAAGTCCCAGAGTTTTCTTTGTCAACGTTTTGCCACTTTTCTCCATAGATAGTGTAGAAACTCTTGCCTCCTCCCTCACCCCCACTCAGAGTACCCAGCAACAAGTAGTAAACATGACACCCAGCAACAGGTGAGAAGCGTGTTTGCTATTTAAATGCAAGTTGTTGTTGTAAAATGATTGGCTTTAAGAAGACAACCCTGCAGCTGGCTCCCTCTCACTCTCAGCTTCCTCATGCTGATGCTAATATTAAGTTATAGCTCTTATGTGATTAGATCCCCAGTAAATTGCAATGAACATAAGTTAACAGCTTCTATTAGTTTTTGTAGGGATTGAGGATTTGTACCATGTAACATGTTACTAGATTTGAATAGCATTTCTGTTCCTATAGGAGATGATATTAAAATCGAGCACCTGGCAGGCTAAACAACAGTCTGAAATCAACTCCTATCTTCAACTCTATCTTTCAGTAGCAAGGCTCATGCTGGGGATTTATGCTACTTGACTATTGCCTTGTTACAAACTCATCATTGTGATATTTGTGACCAGACAAACAGAAGGTGAACAGTGTATACAAACAGCTTAAATTACACAAATGGAAACAGGTTCTTCCTGAGATTACTCCTTTCAGGAAGCAGTCAACAGTTTTATGATGCTGTAATGATGCTGTGGGCGTGGACACAAAAAAGGATAAAAGTCCTATAAAAATAAAGTTGCATAAAGATTTAGTATTTTAATTGTACTCAGGCTCTGAGGCTGAACCTAATTTTCATTACAGTAACAAACCTCTATTCAGTGCATGGCTCCAGTAGAAGGGTGGTGTCCTCTACCACAGGAACTGTATCCTTGCCAAAAGAGGATAAAACAATCCATATCCCTATCATGACCGAACGACTGTGTGACTTGCTTATTCTATCCCACTTCTCCCCCTCTGTCCACCCAGCAAACAAGCTGTCTGGTAGGAAACCACACAGCCTGAGACCTGGTGAAATTCTTCCTTGCTATAGACAGGATAGAAACATCAACTTCTGTCATTGTTGTCATGTTCTTTCTAAGGTCCCTCCCATATGGTCATTGAATTTTTAGAAAAGCTGCAAACATATTCAAGGACCACATTATAGTACCCTAGCAAAAATATTAAATACACTTCAACCAATAACATTCTTAACACTGCTGCACTGTGCCTTTTTATGAACATAGACAGGATGTTGATGAGGTAAGTTGCATTGTGATACCATCTCTCAGTCGCTCTTTATGACTAGGAGGCACAAATCTAACAGTACTTCACCTTTAATACCAGTTTCTAAATGAGTTTTTCTCTTTTACACATCCTTTATTTCTTGTATTTTGTACTCAGATTCTTAAACGTTTGAAAATTTCTGCCTAGCTTGTTAACATCATGCGACAGGGAGAGCCACATACCTGTGAAGGTTTCAGTGCAAGGATTGATACCCGCCAATCTCTTAGAAGTACCGAAATCTGAAATTTTCAGGATCCCACTGTAGGTGTTTATTAACACATTATCACCCTGTGTGAGAAAAGGGCACTTTTAAAGATAATGCATTTATAATCGACTTCAAAGTACTAACAACCTCTGGGGTGCTAACATGGTTAAGAGAAAAAACAACACACAAATATGGTATTGTAGTAAATAAAACATGAGATTTGGGGATTATCAGGTGTAAACAAATGCATATTTTGCACTATGTGAAAACTCATGTGCACACAAGTGCTCATAATTTTGCAAACAATTGATGAGACACATCGGATGTGAATTATTAATAAATCCTCTCCAAGTTACAATAAAAACGTCACATTTGTGCGGAATGAGTGATTGTACATGTAATCAGCATTCAAGTTGTAACATTCAAGTAGTGTAAACTATCAGGACCCATCTGGCCATTAACATACCTTTATATCTCGGTGTGCTATCTGATAGTCATGAAGGTATTTTAACCCCTCCAGAACCTGTTTGGTATAAAATCCAATGGTGTGTTCATTATTCTTCAGTGGGCCCCATTTTGATCGCAAGAGAGCAGAAAGGCTGCCTGTGGATTAGATATGATCAGAAACCATCACTGTTTGCGAACATGTCCTGGTCCAGGTTTACATTAGTGGCATTAACCCTGTATCAGCAAACCTATTCTGTTGTAAACAACAGTCAAAAACCTTTTAAACTGAGGGAAACCTTAACACAACTATATTACAATAATAATCCTCACAGTTCAATTATTTTTCAAATGGATTATAAAAGGTACATAGTTAACTCCTTTCCCCTCTGCCCTAAATGTGAGCATTGTCTTTGACGAAACTGGAAGAGTTTGAGATGGTCAATACTTTCAGTTACAGAGTTAGCAAAATGGACAGCTTATGGCAGGAAAGAGGGCACACCTACAGGATTGTAAAGGCAATTTCAGAACCAGAAACATCTGTTTACACAGTGGGTAATTAACAACAATTACATATATTTATATAGCACCATTCACGCACAGCAACATCTTGTAACATGCCAGAAACAGGGGAAAGGGGATATGACTGTGTGCATGATCAAAGCCATAGGTTTTTAAGGAGGCTTTTAAAAACAGAGCGGGGCAAGACAGAAGGGGTTTAACAACTGAAAAGGAACCAGGAAGGGTGCTAGAAGCTGGGTCACTGGTTAATTTAAGAAACAACTTGCAGGGGCTATAATGGATTGTCGGTGAGTATTCTGGAAGGATGAGATCAAACGGGCCAAAGAATTTCCTTCATCCACGATAATATACACAACTCAGATTATAAAAAGTCCTACTTTGTCAGAACAGAAGTACCCAATGTTTTAATTATTCTGCAAGTATTTGACATAAGGGGTGGTTTTAGATTGGTATGAGTGGACAAATAAATGGGAATTATACTTGTACTAATTATACTCAAGGCTGGTAAACCAAAGCTCTGTATGCTTGCACTTAACTGCATTCACAGAGTTAAGCTGGAGTCCTGTAGCTCAGTGGTTAGAGCACTCGCTTTGCAAGTGAGAAACCTGAGTTCAATTCCAGGCAGGGCGAAACCTTGGGCAAGTTTCCTTACTCCTCACGCCTAATAATAATCCCTCCAAAACCAAAAACAATAATAAATTGGTCATTTTCAATCTACGACTGTTTGTGGAACATTGTAGTGCGCAATTGGCTGCCGCGTTCGCCCACAAATATACAGTCAATTCACTTTACAATGTGTTCTGTGAAGCGCTTTGGGACGTCCTCCCGACGTGAAAAGCGCTATATCAAATGCAAGGATTATTATTATTATTATTAAGCTCAACACTCTCCCTGTGCTGGGGAAATATTTGTTACAGAACAGCCATGGGACATCTCTTTTCTAACATTAAAAATTTGCCTTTAAATGTATTAATATAATAATAATCCTTGCAATTGATATGCAATTGATATGCTTTTCATGTCTTCTAGACGTCTCAAAGTGCTTCACAGAATATGCTGTAAAGTGAATTGACTGTATATTTGTGCGAGAAACGCATCAGCCAATTGCACACAGCAGCGTCCTAAAAACAGTCGTGGATTGAAAATGACCAATTCATTACTGTTTTGTTTTGGAGGGATTATTATTAGGAGTGTGGAGTAAGGAAACTTGCCCAAGGTTTCGCCCTGCCTGGAATTGAACCCAGGTGTCTCGCTTGCCGGGCGAGTGCTCTAACCACTGAGCTACAGGACTAAGTGCATCAGTTATAGTTATACTGCAGTTTGTGCACAGCTGAAGTGGAGCACAATTAGCTTTTGTTTCCAATGTAAAAGTACCAAACTTTTGGCCTTTTGGTTGCAGTTATACTGCATTTTCATCATCAATGAAAACCTGAAGCTGCTTTACTGCAGTGAAATATGCTCATTACAAATATACTATAGAGTGATAAAAGATGATTTCGTAAAACATTTTCTATGCAACATTAAACCAGTTTAACTTTTGTTATGCTTCAGTCATCCACAGGAGTACATATTTCACATTGAACAATGAAGTGTTCAATCTTGTGATATAATTACTTCCACCATCTGTCGTGCACGTGGAATAATACAGTAGTTAAGTGATCTTAAATCCAGGACCAACATCCTTACAAAAATTATCTAAGTTACCTTTCAGATGGAATAGAAAAACAAACATACCTCCAGGAACTTGTTCCATAAAAATCTTAATAAAACCATTTTCACTAATAGAGCCCAGATACTGGACAATGTTCTTGTGTTTAAGATGCTTATGAAGAGCAATTTCTTCATGCAAAGGTTGTGAATCCCTGAGAACATATCCATAGAAATCTATTAGCACAGGACACTTAATGCAATGACTATAAAATACTTCCTGACTTCATTTTAAAATCTCAAGCTAATATAATGATAATAATACTTGAATTTGAAATATGTTGAAAGGATAAATCTACATGTTAAAACTTACATGAATTGGAAGGGAATTTATTTTTAAAGAAAACAAAGTTAATGTTTTCAAGGAGTCTGTGGTTGTACTTTGATCCAATGCGTTGAGGGGTTGTGATTTTATTGCAGAAAATTGTTAGTTGCAAAATTTATATTTGAGGATACAAGGCTTTCAGTGAGTAATTCAAAGCAAAGAGACTGTATCAAGTTTGGGATCTCTGTATTACCACATCCCAGCTATGATTATCTTTGTTACTCAAAATATTATCAGTTGCACATTTCCATTAACTTGAATATCCTAGTAAATTAATCTCATTATCCTTTACATGCAGAGATCTATATGCAATTTTTGTGTGTCTCAAGGCAACAACAACAGCAATCACAATTTGCATTTGTAGAGTGCCCTTCACTCTGGACGGCGTCTCAGAGCGCTTAACAGCCCGATGCTGAGCCAGAGGGAGGGGGAAGGTGACAGTAGGCACGACCTGAAAATGGGGAAAGAGGGGACAAGGGGAAGGGATCGAGGGAGAGAGTTCCATAGCATCGGGGTGTGGTGGCTGAAAGCACAGCAGCTGATGTTGGGGCAGTGGGTCAGGGGTACAAGGAGGAGGCCAGAGCTAGTCGAGCGAAGGCAGCAGGTAATGCTATAGGGCGAAAGTAGGTTGGAGAGGTGGGGGTTACAAGGGCATGAAGGGATTTAAATACAAGAGTGAGGATCTTAAAATCGATCCGCTCTGTGACGGGGACCAAATGGAGTTTGATAAGGACCGATGCAATGGAGGTACGGAGTTTAGTGTGGGTGAGAATGCCGGCGGCAAGTTTTTAATTAGTTGAATTTTGTGAATAGTAGAGCAGGCGAGGAGGGCGTTTGAGAAGTCGAGGCAGTTTGAGTAGACAAGGCACACAGTTACTTGCCTGATGTCCCTTTCAGGGATTTCTTTGATGGCGATTCTGACCTGGTTACTGAGGTCTCTTCCTGCATAAACGATTCCAAAAGTTCCTTTACCCAGAATAACTTTCTCACCATTCTCATCATATTCATAATCATACTGTGTAGCATAAATATAAACAAATGGAAACGTTAACCACAAGTTCCACTTTCTATACTTATATTTGACACTCCCACCCATTCTGGACTTCATAGAATCATAGAATTATACAGCACAGAAGGAGGCCATCCAGCCCACCATGTCTGTGCTGGCACTTTGAAAAGAGCTACCTAAATCAATCCCATTCTCTGTTCTATTCCCATAACTCTACAAACTTGTCCTCCCCAAATAATTATCTACTTCTCTCTTAAAGTTGTTATCGAATCGGCTTCCTCTACGCTTTCAGGCAATGCATTCCAGATCTGAACAACTCGCTGTGTGAAAAAATGTCTCCTCACAGCTCCTCTATTTCTTTTAACAACTATTTTAAATCGATGCCCTCAGGTTACCAACCCACCCGCCAGTGGAAATAGTTTCTCCTTGTTCACCCTATCGAATACCCTCACAATTTTGGAAACTGTTATTAAGTCTCCTCTTAACCTTCTCTGCTCCAAGGAGAATAATCCTAGTTTCTCTAACCTCTCCTGATGACTGAAGTCCCTCATTCCTGGTCCCATCCCAGTGAATCTCCTTTGCACCCTCTCCAATGCCTTGACATCCTTCCTAAAGTATGGTGCCCAGAACTGAACACAGCACGCTAGCTGAGGCCTAACCAGTGTTTTATAAAGATTCATCATAACTTCCTGACTTTTGTATTCTATACCCCTATTTATAAAGCCTAGTATTCATACACTTTTTTAACAGCTTTATCTACCTGTCCTGCCACCTTCAAAGATTTACATATATAACACCCAGGTCTCTCTGTTCCTTCACCCCTTTAAGATTGTACCCTCTACCTTATATTGCCTCTCCTCATTCTTTCTTCTAAAATGCATCACTTTGCATTTCTCCACATTAAACTTCATCTGCCACTTGTCTTCCCATTTTGCCAGGCTGTTTATGTCCATTTGCAGTCTGCTACTATCCTCCTCACTGTTTACTATTCTTCCTAGCATAGTATCATCTGCAAACTTGGAAATTGTACTCCCTATATCCAAGTGCAGGTCATTTATATAGATCAAAAATAGCAGTGGTTCCAATACTGACCCTGGGGGGATGATGCTATGGGCACCATTCAGCATCTAATACCTCAGCTATGTAGCTATTCTTCAGGTATGAGACCATCCATTGAGTGTCATCAGAATAAATACAAGAACACATGTTTGGTTCAGAAGGAGGCAGCCTTTTAGGTAAATTGACATCATCCTTCCTGAACAGCTACCCTATTTTCCCACATAGCATAGAGCTGTTGGCACTGTTGTATAGCGTGAAAGGCGCTATACAAATATAATTTTGTTGTTGTTGATGGGGTGGGGGGAGGGTGGAAATGGGAGAAAATAAAACAAGCCACATTCTAGTCAACTGAATTTTACACCCAGGTATGTTGCAGCTGTGTTCCGGGTTTCGTGATTTTCTCCTCCTTAGCCTAGGGATACTGAAGCAAATTATACTACAGTTCCTTCTGCTGGCTAATATCAGCTGTCTAATCACAGTCCAGGGATCAAACCAGCCATCTTTCCTGTCTATGACTCAATCCGTATTTGGCACCTCCTTTACCAAAGGAGCTTATGATTTCTGTCAGGATACTTTTTTTATGGGAACTTACTTTTCTTCAACACCTTAACAAATATGTAAATAAACCTTTAATAAATAACTTTACATTTTATATTGGACACAATTAGGTATCTTCAACTTAAGAAAGTTTGGGTCCCTGATTCTTCATGCTTGCGAACCTGTGCCTAATGCTCCCCAGAATTAAGTAAGCAGGTGGTGTCTCTCCAGGGAGAGTGTGCAAACCATTCGGCATTGGACAAAGGAAAATTTGTATACGTAGGTAATTACATAAGAAAAACTCTCACTCTGGTTTGGTTACAATTAAGCTTGGTGATGATTTGCACATACATCAGACACCCAGCTAACCAAAAAAATCTTAGGGCTTGTATCACCTGGTTCATTATAAACACAACATTTGAGGGTTACTAGTATTACATTGATACTTGCTTTTCCCTAATGGTATTGTTAACCTTTCTCCTTTGCATATAATTTGTTTAAGTTAAGAATTAAATCATGTTTCATAAGCTCAGCAGAAACTGAAGTAATATAATATCTGTGTCTCACCTCCAGCATATCTCCTTCAAGTTCTCCTTCCTCTGCATTCTTTCCCACCTCTTCTGTTATAGTACTCACCATCTCACAGAACCTTAAAAAAGGGAATTGTGGACTGAAAATGACCTTTGATAAAACTACAGCATCAAGTCATTAAATTTAATTTCTGCAACTTTAGGTCGAAAAACAATTTTTAACCATTAGCAGTGGACGACTGTTGATGTTTAGTTTTGTTTACAAAATACAGTACCATAATTTTCACTTCCAACACGCCCTACTGAAACTATGTATCCTAGGCTTTGATCATGTATCCGATACATTTATACATGCTGAAGCAAAATTGTTCAAAAGAAAATGAACATTTCAAAGAATTATCCCAGGCATAATGTTTGCGTAAACACTCTGCAATGAGCACCTAAATCCATTTGTTGAACAATTGTGGAATAAAAAAGGATTGTGCTATTTGAGTGACATTACTCTGTGATGTTTGGTTTATATAACCTGAAAAGATCATAGTAAGAAGCAATTCTAAAATAATGCTCTGAGCGGCACTATATAAATATAAGTTGTTGGTGATGGTAAAATGATGTTCTCTTCCTTGCATCCCACCCCATTTCACAGTGTAATATAAAAAAAAGTCACGTCTCTATGATTTACTGAGAAATCTGAATTAATTTACACAACTTTGCTGTAATTAACATAAGTTGATTAAATAGTATTGGGAATACAGAATTATTTCTGATCTTATGAAAATTGTAAATAGTTTTAAACCAGATTGATAAATTATTCCAGTCGTTTTGTTTTTATACGTTTTCTCTGAAGGCTTAACTAAAGACTCTGCCAAGTAGTTAATAATGGAAATTAATGATATTGCTTTCTTCGAAACATTCTTAACCTTGAATGAATCAAGCTGGGGCAGTAATTAAGATAGTTTTTTTTAAATTCTACCAACAAAAATAATTTTGTTTCTGCACTCAAAGCAATGAGAGGACAATTTGGGTTAAACCTTGCTGCATTACAGTGCCAAGGCCACACTTCGAAAAGAACTGATAAAATATCATACCATTGAATATATTAAATGTTATTTACACTTTCTAGGAAATGGTTTAAAAACTTCACACAGTTGAACTGATAATGTATGCACATACCTCTTGCAGTGAAGCTCCGTACAAAAATAAATCTGAAAGTCATCTGAGTTATGTAGAACATACAAGAAGCAACAGCGCTCATCAATCTTTGAAACACTGAAACATTTAAAGAAAGCATTGTAAGGCCAATATTTGTATATCCATATATATTTTTCTAGAAATCACAATTCAGTTACTACTATTTTACTTAAGCAGCCAATACGCGTCCAGCTATTTTGAGGGAAAAATACAAGATATACATCACACAAATATTTTTAGATCAGCTACACAGCATTCATCCTAGTCTCATGATCTAATTTACATTGCAGTGAACTCCTCTTCAGAACTTCACCCATACAGTTTGTCACCCACATCCTGTTAACTCTTTCTCCTAGGAATCCAGGTGGTTTTCAGCTTTGTGGTTTAGTTGCAGGCATGCATCTATTTAAGGGAAGTGCCATTTAGTCACAAATTGAGACAGATGCTCCTCAGTTACACTCAATCCAAACTCATGTTGTCCATTGCCTTATTACTCTGACAGACTGGATTGTATCTTCCATTTTTCGTCACTTTTCTGAGGAGAGTAATCTTGGGAATGGAAGAAGCATTCAGTTTATTGAATCTGTTCCACCATCCTATTGGATCACAGCAGATTGTCCGATGCAATTTCTCTGCCTTTTCTCCTTGTCCCATTTGACAAAGTAACTCACAAGCCTGATGAGGCTTGTGAGGTACTTTGTCAAATACATCTTTAATAGTACACAATGTATATACTGGAAACTCCAACTGAAGAATAAAAAATGAGGAACCAAACTGAAAATGAGACATTCAGTTGTAAGTACAATGTTATTATAAAATCCAAGTCAACTTTCATTAACCTACGTTGGTTCCCAGAAAAACCTAAACTTTTAGTGCCTTACATGTTTACAATTTTCTTAATTGTTTCTAAAATTTCAAGTGAAATAACTTATAATTTTCAGAAACACATTAATAAGTTACCCATTTTTTTAAAAAAAATTCCCCTTCTCGATATTTTTTTCATGACACTTTATAATTTTCTCTGCACAGTTTAAATGAGAGATGCAGCCAAAACCTAAAATTCCCTGGATTAGAAATTTTCTCAGGTCTCACTTCAAAATAACTTAAACATACTTTCAATAAAAAACAAGCCTGCTGCAAACAATTAGTCTAGTTATTTGTTATGCAAATATGTGCATTATTGTCATTGATCAACAAAATTCATTCATTTTGTTTTAAATAATGAAGCAATTTAAAAACAGTATTGTACAATTCCTCCTCCCCTCACCCCATTAAATCCAAGCACAGGGAACATTTACACACAATGGATCCAATTTTCTCAGAGCACTGGATACAGATTGGAAAGGTATTGTATGAAATTAACCAGTTAGACTCTGACCTGACACCCCGGATAGAAGCGGCGTTGAAGTTCCATTCATTTATGCCTTTCTGCGATGCACATTCCCACCAAACACATTGGGCCCAAAAGGAGGGAAAATAACACAGAAAACAAGTACAATGCTGTGAATATAGTTCTGAAAACAACAACAACAAATTACATTTGTAAAGCTCATTTCACGTCAGGAGGACGTCCCAAGGCCCTGGACAGTCAGAGATTTGGACCCGAGCAGGGGATTGAGATCCGAGGAGTGGAGAACAGGGAAGGTAGGGGTAAGCAATTGGCCGAATTCGTGGTTGAAAAAGAGGGTCTTGAGACGTGCTTTGGAGGAAGCAAGAGAGGGAGCAAGATGAAGGGACTGTGAGATGGTGTTCCAAAGGGTAGCAGCAGAGTAGCTGAAGGCTCGACTGCTAATGGTGGGGTGGGCCGGATGGGGGACGTGGAGCAGGCAAAAACATGCTGAACGGAGGGAGCTGACAGGTTGATGTAGGATTAGCAAGTCAAAGAGGTAGGAAGGAGCAAAGGCCTTGAAGACAAGGACGAGGATTTTGGACTCTGTCCTCTGGGGGATGAGGAGCCAGTGGAGCCGGGCGAGGGTGGGGGCGATGGGGTCACGGAGCCTGATGTAGAAGAGGGCACAAGATGCAGAGTTCTGGATGATCTGCAGCTCGTGGAGGGAAGAGTTGGGAAGGCTGACAAGCCTAGTTATAATAAATGCGTGGATGAGTGTTTTAGCAGCCTGAGGGGAGAGGAAGTGGCAGAGCCGAGTGGTGTTGCGGAGATGGGGGAAAGCAGAGCAGTTCATGGCACAGATGTGGAAAACTCAGTTAAGTTGATTCCCAATTTATGATTTGTGTTCAATACCTTATGGCCACTCTTACCTGATCATCTGGTGAAACATGCCAAATAGACACTGTCTTTTCCTCTGCTTCATTATTAATGGACAAATAAGCAGGCTGGAAGACTTTGGTTGGCTCCAAGGTTAAAACCTATCAAATATGTGAAAATAATAATATATCTTGTGTTTCAAAACTGCGTGGTAAGCATCAGCAGTCTGTTATTCACAAAACCTCTTTTATCTGTAGGTTATTGATAATTGATAAATAGATACTACCCCAACTAAAAGTATTTTACTCTCATCTACTACTCAGTTGATATCTATTGTTATAACAAATAATCTTTACATATGGTATAGTTCCTTATCACATTATCCAAACATCTCAAAGCATATTGCAGAATTTATTGTAAAGTGATGACTGTATATTTCGTCAGCAAACGCAGCAACCAATTTGCACACAACAAAGTTCCACAAACAGAACGACCAAATTTATTTGGAGGCTTGTTGGACACCAGGAGAAACTGCCTTCCCTTTTCCATTTTATAATATATAATAATACTTGCATTTGAGATAGTGCTTTTCACGTCTTATGGACGTCTCAAAGCACTTCACAGAATATACTGTAAAGTGAATTGACTATATATTTTGTGGGCGAAACGCTTCAGCCAGTTGTGCACAGTAGTATCCCACAAATGGTCGTGGATTGAAGTAACCAATTTATTATTCTTTTTTTTCTTGAGGGATTATTATCAGGCGTGTGGAGTAAGTTGCCCAAGTTTTGGCCCTGCCAGGAATCGAACCCAGGTCTCTCTCTTGCAAGGCGAGTGCTCTAACCACTGAGCTACAGGACACCTGATATGTCAAAATATTACTGCTATTATTGATTTTTGATGTCTACCTGAATAGGCACACAAGACCTTGGTTTAATGTCTCAACTGAAGGATGGCATCTCTATCGGTGCAGCTCCCCTCTCAGCATTGCACTGGAATGTTTACCTCTATCAAACTTCTACTCAGCGGGCTCCGGCTGGCTTCACGGCCCCCTCTTTACCCTCCCCACAATTGGTGGGCAGGCCTTCAGCCACTCTGCCCCCACCCTCTGGAACTCCATCCTGCAGTCCCTCCGCCTCACCCCCTCCCTTACCTCCTTCAAAACCTGTCTCAAGACCATCCTCTTCAGCCGTGCTTTCGATCACCCTCCTTCCACCCGCTAACCCCCACCCTCCCTGATCCCAACTCCCAGCTTGGGTCGGAAACACTGATTGTCCAGCGCCTTGGGACGTCCTCCTGACGTGAAAGGCCCTTTCCAAATGTAATTTTGTTGTTGTTGTAGTCTACAAAGTGTTAGGCATCAATGATTGAGGCCAAACATTAAAGTCATTTCAGAAATTATTAGATGCTGTAATGGGAAGACAAAGGTTGGTATCTAGTAAGATAAGATCAAATAAGCTGAAGGGCCTTAATCATCAAAATCAATTCATGATTTACCAATTCATTTATACATCATTACATCCAGAAGTACCATTATTCATGTTATATGGACAAGCACCCTGTAAATATTTGTCAGATACTTAATCGATGGTGATGATGTGCCTTTAGGGGTAGGGGGAAAAGGAAAGAGAAATAGAAACTACAGAAAGAGGCCATTCAGCCCAACAAGTCCACACTGGATCACAAAGCAAGGTGATCATTTAATCCCACCGCTTTATCCCTAAATCCCAACAAAATGCTCTCTTTCATATGCCTGTCCACTTGCAGGTTTAAACATTTTGAAACGGAAAATCACATACAGGAAATCGAACCAAAGACACATCCTCATTGGTAGCTTCAACAATGAAGTCCATCCAGAAATCCATCAGGTCCTGCATGCTTGAGGGTTGCTCTTGAGTCTGCTTCTTAAATCGCTGGAAGATACGAATAGTTTCCACAACAGACTTCAGATACCTAGAAATAAGGAGGAATGGAATTGTAAAAAAGTCAGGAAAACAACTACTACATCCATTTATATAGTGCCCTGCACATGGGGTGGTGTCTGCAGCTCTTAACAATGGCAGAGCCTGACGCCGAGCCAGAGAGAGAGAGGTGACCGTAAGCAAGGTCGAAGAGGAAAGTCTTCAGTCATGATTTAAAAGAGGGGAAGGAGGGGAAGGTAGATGGATTGGGGAGAGAGTTCCAAAGCTTCAGAGTATAGTGCCTAAAAGTGCGGATGCGGATGGAGGAGCGGAGGGGATGAGGGACAAGCTGGAGGTCAGAGCCAGGTGAGGGGAGGCAACAGTTAGTGGAATGGGGAGAAAGCATGCCAAAAAGGTAGGGAGGTACCAGGGCATGAAGGGATTTGTAGATGAGTGAGAGGATCTTGAAATCGATCCATTCTGTGATAGGAGCCTGGTGAGGACTGGCGTGATGGGGGTTTTGTGTGCGTGAGAATACGGGCGGCGGAGTTCTGAATCAGTCATACTTTGTGGATAGTGGAGCTTGGGAGACTGGTGAGGAGGGCATTGGAGCAGTCGAGGGCATTGGAATCGGCTGACTTGGGGATGAGGTACAGTCAGAGGCGGGCAATGTAAAGGAGGTGCAGAAAAGTAATCTTGGTTAGGGATCAGATTGGGGTAGGAAGGACAGCTGGGGATCGAACCCAATACCTTGGTTACGTACAGATTTGGTGAGTCTTAGGGAAAAGCTGGGGAGGTTGAGCTGCAGGAGAGAAGACGTTGACGGGAGCCCAGGAGTATGGCTTCAGTCCTGTCTACGTTCAGCTGCAGGAAGTTTGCACTCATCCAGACCCTGATGTCTGCCAGACAACCTGACAGCAGACCTGGAGTTGCAGTTTGTTGAGGAGAAGTAGATTTGGGTGTCATCCGCATACATGTGGAAGTTTACCCCATGTCTGCAGATGAATAATCCCTCCAAAACAAAATAACAATAATAAATTGGTCATTTTCAATCTACGACTGTTTGTGGAACACTGCTGTGCGCAATTGGCTGCCACGTTCGCCCACAATTATACAGTCAATTCACTTTACAGTATATTCTGTGAAGCGCTTTGAGACGTCTTGAAGACGTGATAAGGCGCTCTATCAAATGCAAGGATTATTATTATTATGAAATGCCGAGAGGGAGCATGTAAATGAAGAAAAGGAGGGGCCAAGGATGGAGCCTTAGGGTACCCCGCAGGTCACTATGGGTGGGCGGGAGGAAAAAACTTTTGTGGAGACAAAATAATGGCAGTTGGTTAAGTTGGGCTCAAACCAGGCGAGTGGGTCCCACTGAGTTGGATGAGGGAGGAGAGGTGGTGACAAGGATCAGCTGTGTTGAATGCAGCGGAGAGGTCCAGAAGGACAAGGAGGCAGAGGCCGACCTGGTCACAGAGAGTGAGAGGATATCATTAGTGACTTTGACAAGAGCTGTCTCTGTGCTGAAATCAGGGCGGAACCCAGACTGGAGGGGTTCGTAGGGGTTGGAGGGAGAGGTGTGAGTGGATTTGATTTGTAACAAAGTAAAAGTAATACAGTTACAAAGACTTTCAAAGCACTCAACTGTTATTGGGTCAAATAGTGATTACTTTTGTAGACAAACATAGCAGCTATTTTGCACAAAGAAAAGTTGCACATATAGCCATGAGATGACTGCTCAATTAATCTGGAGCCCAAGCTAGGTTTAATTGGCCAAACTAATTTCACATAAAGCCAATAAAGTTGGCAGAAAATACCTTCACCCCAATAAACCAGAGTGGATTTGGATTCAAGCTTTTACTGTTTACTTCCCCAAAAGTTTCTTGTTTATTCAGTTGAGAGTACTGCAAAATTCTAAGGACTGAGTTTGTTGGGCTGAATCATCTATTCCTGTTCCTATGTTTCTGAAAGGAAATATGATAGTCAAGGGTTCTTCAATGCACACTTTGTGAGCATTCTTTCTCCTTAGTGCTAGCTAGATGTATTGTAGACAGAAGAATTCAACAAATAAATTGTCTGAACATCTCAGGTTCAACCCTAGATCCGGTTGAATCTGTAGACCCTTAAGGCAGTTCAGAGAAGAGCAACAAGGATGATTCAGTGATGTATGATAAGGAATGACTGGAAAAGATAGATCTCTTCAGCTTTGAACCAAGATGCCTTAAAGTGGACCTTAAAGATGTATAAAAGGTATTTAATAAGTTGGAGAAAGGAAATCCAAAACAATGTTTTCAGATCCACCCAAGCAGCAGGACAAAAGTGCACAGGACTTTAGAGGACAAATTTAGGAGCGACTCGGAGGATATACAAACAGCTGGAATGGGTTACCAGGAAAGACAGTGCAAGTCCGGACACTGAACTACATGCTCGGGTGCAAGAAATAACTGTTGTAATTGGAAGACTGTGGGGAGTGGTATTCTGGAAAGATTAAATTAGTTGAGGGCTTTCTTCATCTGTATCTCTCTTGTGATTGCCATGGAAAACACAAAGGGCATTTCACAATGATTTTATGTTTTCAGCAAAGAAATAGGGCAAGAGTGGAAACAAGAATTCTGAAATGGCAATTGGCACCAGGTCAACACTAAGAGAAACAACCCCTCCCTGGATCAGCATCAGAAACAATGCAATTTTCATTTTTCAAAGCACTATCTGTGAGAACCAAATCACTGAATGCATTTATTCAGCTAAGAGGTTTAAAAATGTTTGGTGGCACGTAACTGCTTTTAGTATAACCAGTTCTCTATACAAAGAAGGTTTTGCATTTAACTCCTACAAAATGTTGGGTTGATGCATGGTAAAGTTGCAGATCCTAATGATACTTCTTGGCTGTCTCCTGGTTTGGATTAATGCAGATACAGTACTTGAGTTAGCTGGTCCTGTCTCAACTGGGAACCTGCTGGCTATTACTGTGCTGATGTTCACGTGACTGAATCTTCCCGTAATGTAAAGTTTTTTTTGAAAACTGCTTCCAGACACACTCGCTGGCTAGTTTCCAAACTGTTGCAAGATGAAATATGCAACTTCCCATAAAACATACTGTGAACCTTGTCACAGAAGAGTTTCAAGTCAGAACATTGGCTTGAAGTCAAATGGGACAGATTCCACCTCATCTCCAAACTGTGGAAACTGCAGAATCTCTCAGTTTCCTAGAATGTCCCAGCAGGTTTCCAGTATGTGAAATAGGCCGCCATATACATATTACACATGAAAGGTTTAAACATATAGTACTAGTAAAATACAGGCCATATGAGTGAAAATATTGTATTTCATTCAATTCCCTTATTATTTTGTTGCTAATTTAAACTAGTTTTGGAGAAATGCTGAAGACATGCAACAAATGGATGCAAATATTTTGGTACAATGCCTTCACCCTGTTTTGTAAAACATCTGGGATCTGTGAGCAAATGTCATGGACAACTCATCCATGGATACAAATGGTACTCCTCTTTATGAATTATATTATTATTATATTATTATATGTAGCCTCCAAAAAAATCATTTTTGCTGTCCAGCTGTGGCCCCCTCACGACCTTTCTTTATACAAGATATAAACGTTACAGAAGCGTTTTCTTAGTGAGTTTCAGTGCCGCATAATAGTAATTGCAAAGTATTCTCCAGCATGAATTTTCTTGTCAAACCTCAACCATTGCTAGGTTCAGTCCAGTTTTGTTTTGAAAATCAAAGCAAAAATGTTAAAATAAATAAATGAATCTTTGAATTTGATATAGCACCTTATCATGTCGTCAAGACATCTCAAAATGCTTAAAATTGGTATGGCGCCCTTCATGTCGAGAGGATATCTTAAAGTGCCTACACTGCTGGCTGGACACCCAAGCTGGGGGGTGCGGAGGGAAACTTAAGGAGCAGGAGAAAAGATGACCAAAAGTGCAGGTAAAAAAGAAGCATGTCTTGAGACGGACCTTATGTCAGTTAAATATCTGTTATCAATAGCTAAACCGGCATTCACAAAAATACTAGGATAGCAGAACACAAGGGACACTTCATGGTGTTTTAAAATAAATATACAAACATTTGAGGTTGATGCTGCCTATAAATTTAAAATGAACATTTTTAGAAAATTATTTCCCATGTTAGTTTTTATTTCAATTCATCATTACTCGGCCAAGAGTCTGGTAAAGTGGCTGCATCCAAACCCTTTGTCAATGAGACTCTACAAAATACTGCTCAGATCTATGTATTTCAATGTGGAAAACATACTCTCACCTGGCAACCGCTCTACAATTCTCCTAATGGCATAATCAAGATTGGGAACACAATGCATGAGAAACTGTTGGTTTGATGTATATCCTACTCTTGTAATGTAGTACGTTTTTGCACCAATATGCTTCATTCATCATTGATTGTCTTCCTCCCCAAACAGGTTTTATAACGGTAAAAGGAAAGGTCCAGTCTCTGATTCTTAGGGATGTAACTTGATCATGTTGTTAACTGATCTTCAGATTTTCTTTCCTTGGCCAAAAGTAACAAACCAATCTTCCCCAAGTAAACAATGATGTTACAATTATTATTGCACAGCCCCCAACAGCAAATCAAAATCAGAAATCCTGTGACATATTCCATCCCAACTATTTGCAACCATTGAACACAGGAAAGGATAAATGCACATATGAAAATGCTAATTTACTGCTTAAGACTAAGCAAACATGATGATATCTGAAGCTGCACACTTCATAATGAGATAGCTAATTGCTTTTCTTCAGAGAATTGTGTCAAGGACATTTGCTGTGCATCACCAAACCCATTTGAAATAACTGTATTTTACAGAAACATGAACATTTCTGTTACATCTGTATCAGATATCCCAATGTGATCGACAATCTGATTCTCTTTACCAATAAGAATTAAATATTCAATGATAAAGAATCGGTATTTACCATGCTGGTGCCTTAAATTTGAAAAGCTTCTCAGAAGCTTGAATTACTCGGAGTTGGTCATTCGCTAACATACTGGCACCGAGGAAAAAGCCCACATCCCAGTAACTCTGTACTTTTTCCAGATTTCCTTTCTTCCCGAGTAGGCTGCTGAGCTTCACACCTGCACAAATAAGAAACATCACACACAACATTTTAACACAAACATTGAAACCAGGGACATTGGGCCATTTTAAATGAACCTCATAAATTCCTTGTCTATGCTTATAGTACAGATATAACTGTGAACCAGAAGTACAGTACACCTCCAGCACTGAAGAGTCAACTTCTTGTGCAAGGTGTAGGAAGTGACTTCAGTGGGAACCTGATCATCTGAGAAGTGGTAACTGGTAATTTTTTTTTAAGATGGATCATTATAACACGATGTGGTTAGGAGCCATACTACAGAATTGGTCTCGATCACTCAAATCAGAGGCCTTGATCTCTGACTAACAGCAGTGGTGCCTACATGTCTGCACACAGGCACACAAGTAATACGGAAAAATAATACAGTACTATTAATTGCAGCTCTGTGTTTTAAGGCGTTGCAGTTTACAATGCCGTTGCAACTCCCAAATTGTTGCTTACCTTGTAACACACTCCAATGTGTTGTATGTTATTATACAGTGTTAAAACCGCACGGTAAATGGAATTTGCTCATTCTTCATCTAGTTTCACACTATGATCTAGTTTGATAGATATCAAATGTTCACTTCCTTATTGAATCATGTTATATTACCAAATGTATTTAAAACGAATACTGCGCTGATATTCAATATTCAATACTTTCTGCACGTCTGTGATATAAACATAGACCATAATATAAACATCTACATGATACATGTACCCTCTGCCCACCCCTGCCATCATTCCTGTTCGTGCTCAATCAGCAGTACATGCCGTCCCAGTCTTTTAGGTTAAGGTGAAAGAGGCCTATGAAACCCAGTGACCCACCAACCAACAAATGCAGCACTGCCATCTACATGCCAGTAATAATAATAATAATCCTTGCATTTGATATAGCGCCTTATCACGTCTTCGAAACATCTCAAAGTGCTTCACAGAATATACTGTAAATATACTGTAGCACTGCCATCTGCACACAGCAGCATTGCGATCACTGGGGCTCCCCACTCCACAACCATGTCAACTGCTTTAGGGGTAGTTGGTGACATTTACACAGAGAAATAGTTTTACAGATTTTCCCTACACTATGTTAGACAAGATGGTGAAAAATAAATTCACCACACTCAAGCAATTTCCTGTCCCCTTCCATCACCTATGATTATTATTTAAATTATTTATTTATTCATTTATTTTATCACCTCATTTCTTTCTTTAAGCGCTCCGGGACACTATCCTGCATGTAGGGCGCTATATAAATGCAAGTTGTTGTTGCTGTTTGCTTCTGATCAGTTACTTTGCTAATTCTATCTCCCCGTTACTTTCTGGTTCAATTCCAGATCCCCCTCCCTTTCCCCTGGTACAGAGCTTCTTTCTTCATCCAGTATCCAGTGACATCAAGTCTAATTGTAGATCAGAAAGGCTCCACAGCACAACAGTAATCAAGCGACAACAGGTCCCGAGACTACAGGGAAAACAGGTTCCACAGAGAGAGGGGGAGGGGGGAGGAAAAGGAGAGAGAGCATTATGCTTAGGCACTGGAAGATCCATGAAGGAGATGGAAAGAGACCAGACTAAAGCATAAATAGGTTTGTATTCAATGCTACCTGGTAATCTACTGTCTCAATTCTAATTATAATCCCTACAGCCTGGGGAGTAAACTTCAAACTATTTTTAGGATCAATTTGCAGTTGAAGTTTGTTTTTAATTTAATCCTTTAAGCACCACTTGCAATTTGTGTGGACAACAGGAGTCTGGTCACAGCACGTGTGCAGCACAAAGGAAAGAAATATGCAAAAGTACATCAAAATCTAGAAAAGGCAAAAAAAGTACATCAAATTCCAAAAGTACAATCATTTTGTAAATATTCTTGAGATGGGCATAACGTGCTTGCTGTCGGATGGAAACAAAACTTGAGAAAAGTAGCTAATGGGGGGAAAATGAGCAGAAAGAACATCACATCTTGGGAGTAATAATCCCTTTTTTAAAAAAAAATGGTCATTTAATCCATGACTATCAGTGGGACACTGCTGTGTGCAATTGGCTGCTGTCTTTTTCCTCACAAAATATACAGTCAATTCACTTTACAGTATATTCTCTGAAGCGCTTTGAGATGTCTGAACGGCGTGCTAAGCTGCTATCTCAAATGCAAGGATTATTATTATTCTCTTTGATTTACAATAATTATGCTTCGAATTGAAATATTGCATCTTGTAGCTGGAATTTCCAAGTGAGGAGATACACAGGCAGCTTTGGAGCACTGCACTGCGTGATTCATTTTGAATGAGAAGTTATAACATTTATGTAGATACATATTAACGTTTAAAATGCAGTTGACCAAACCAAATACTCCAGAACATGCAATTTTGGAGTTGCTGGGGCCGTGTGAAAATGATGTTAAGGAAGGTGACTACTGGAGATGAAACAGTTATAAATCCAGGAGTTTCACTCAAATACATTTGGATTGAACGGTAAAGTTTGCATAACCTTTCTTTCTCCTTCACAAGGTTAAATCAATTAGATAAAATACACATAATGCTTGGGACCTGTATGTTGCTTTGTTACTCCATGCTCTTCATTGTTATATCATGTTGTAAATGGAGATTAAAAGAAAGGGAATCATTGTTTTTCCTGCAGTTGATTTTTTTTATGTTTTATGTATCTGTGCTAATGTTGGCATCACAATGATGGATATGAACAGATTTTAGACAAATACCATATAAGTGCCTAAACCATTCCTCCCAATGGAACAGTAAAAATGTTACTTGCTTCTAGAGGGAAACCTGAAGTGATAACATTTTCTATTGATTCAAAATCAAACACGAAAATCTGTTAGTCTTCACTGCTTTCTCCATGTGCTGGAGTGTTTGGGACGTCCTCCCAACGTGAAAGGCGTGAAAAATTTAATTTTGTTGTTGTTTGTAAATGGAATGACCAACTTACATTGTTCCCCTTTAATTCTACAGTACAATTTTACTTACAGCAGAAAGTAATTGTTTGTAGAATTGTTAAAATGTTCTTGGTCAATCAGGAGGAAGGAATGCAGTTGGAAAGTTTCCATCAGTCCTCATTTATTTATTTATTTAGTTATTTTCTGTCAATGCATCACAAGCCAAATAATCTTAACAACTATGACCAACCTTATGAGATAAATGCAACTGAAGAGCTACTGTATTACAATGATGTTTGAACACAGTTTAAACAACACACATACAATATGGGATATTTAAAGTCCTCCTGAACATGCCGGTGGGACTCAGTTTAACATCTCATCTAGAGGAAGGCACCTCTGACAACCAGCACATCTCAGCAATGCACTGGAGGGTCAGCCCGGACTGAGTTCAAAGTCCTGACATGGGACTTGAAATCATAACCTTCTGACTCAAGAGGCAAGCGTCCTGCCAACTGAGCCAGGCTGACAGCTACCTGCATGATATCCACAGTATGCAACCCTTTAGAGTGCTTGAAGATCTCTTGCAGTTTAAGTCTAAACATATTAAATTACTGTCAAAACAAAATGCTGTACATTTCAAGTGATGAATAATGTGAAGCGGAATTTCAAATTCTACAGAATTAGGTATATTAGTTAATTCCAAACACTGCAAGAATGTATAAAAATAGAAATTTGGATAAACTTCTCTCTTCCAGCTAATCTTCCAGCACACCTCATCCAGCTGAGCGAAAGTGAATGTTAGACCTGCTCCCGGTTCTGTCAATGACTGATGTAAGGTGGAAGATCAACAAGCAGCCTGAAACAACTTGCTCATCAATTACGTCTCCTACCAAAAAGCAGCCACCTCCTGACCTCATCAAATTATGAAATTCGGCACGTGAGGATCTGAGGCAAAAGCATCTTAGCATTGTACAATTGGGTGTGGTAACATACCAACCTATTTTATCTCCTAGTCATATGTTTTGTTTCTCTTTTTACTAAATACACTTCCTTTACAAGCCTCAAGGCTGTTCAAGTGAGTGTCTTTCAAAGGAAAAAAACCTCAGATAAATAATCTACTCATTTTGAATGCACAACTGTATTCGCTCACAACCGTGCCCTGAATAAATATGTCAGTATACTTTTCTCAGAGAATGAAGTAGAACTCATTACCTGTTTTCCGTAGCTCAAATGATGTGTCAAACTCATGTCCTCCTGCAAGGAGAAGAACTGCTAAATTGATCCCAGAATGTAATGTTGGCTCAGATTCAAAAGCCTTTCCATACCTTTTAAAACATAAGAAAAAAATCACATCACTCACGGCTTTACATGTTCACGATGAATGCCAGCTTGTTGTAACTCAACTGCATGAATAAACTTTAAAATATTTATCTAGTCACTGAAAGCAAGTTATATAAATAGTTTCCACAGATCCAAATGGAAAACTTGCAGATCATGTTTATTTAATAAATTTAGTTGAAGAGCAGTCATTACCATATTTTAAACTAAAAATAATCTGAAAATCTCAGCAGGTCAAATATTTGAGTATTTTCAGAGTCAAAACCAATCCTAACAACGCATGCCTTTCTGCGTTCCCTGATTAGCATAGCAGTGAACATGGGTCAATACTTGTCACTGCCACCAAGTTCATTTAGACTGCCAACAACCGTAGGCAAACCCCACTGATAGATCACTGGAGATTCAAACAAACATTTAGGAACAACCATAAGAGGCACTGAACATCAAACTGGTATGAGATTGTACAAAGGAACATTGTGATCCTCTACACATACAGCCTGTGGTTGATATTGTACAATTTCATGCATCTCTGAAAAAGAGATGCTGGGATTGTCCCAGGTCAATTCACATATTAGGGGTGAGAGCCTGATAACCCAGTGATTTTTTTTCTTTGAAAATATATCAATATCCTATGTTTTCAGGCAGGGGAAAGGGAAGAGAAATAAAAACAAAAATTGCTCTTAGTCAGGTAAAACTGCTCCGTAGATGGTCATCTCTCTCAATGCATGCTTGAAAGGCATTACACAAATGTAATTAGTTGTTTGTTTTGTTATTTGTAGCTAAGCATTTGCTCCACATAAGTTTATGTGCTCAGTAGAGACTGAGCTCAGCTGCTCCAGCTCTCTGCAGTCCAGAGCTGCACCTGCAATTTCAGTCTGATTCACATTAAGAAGTCAACTGTCCAAGGTGGAAGCTTTAATATCAGGGTGCATAGCCCTCTGTATCTATGGATTCTCTGCATAGGCAACTATTCTAACAGAAATACTCTTGCACAAAAGCATCTACAACAAGATTTCTTGAATTAGCCATGCTCGATATTAAAACTAAATGATGTTTCCTGTGTGTATTGATCACATACTGCAGCTGAGTTATAATCCGCATCATGTTATACTGGCAGCTGGTCCCGACCGAGCTTGGTATGTTTTGTACACATTTGAGTTTACATATTGTTATAGTTGTATCAAGTTATAATTCATCTAATGTTCTGCAAATTTGAAGTCCTGATTAACAAAAGATCGAATAGTTATATCCAGGGGTTTAGTGCAATGCTCCAGCATCTGAAATCCAGGATAAAGAGACAGGTGGATGGTTCAATGAGGGCACAGGACAGGATGATGGACCTGTGGCAGATGATGCAATGGGAAAGAAGGACGGGTTGATTTAAGGCAGATGGACTGTCTGATGAGAAGAGGTTGTTACAGTACAATATTTTAGCACCTGTTTGTTATTTTTCTGATTCAATTTCGAACAGTCAAAAATAACTGATTTTAATTTAAAATAACCCTTATTATACTGAAATGAAAGTAACACTTTGTATATTTTATTTTTTTCTTATCCTTGAAATTGTAAATGCCTTCAAAACAGTTTGGAAGAGTTTTTGAGTGTGTATAAGATAATTTCCCCTATTGTTATAGTATGTATAATGTTATAATTTTGTCTGGTCCAATAAGAGTGTTAGGCAGAGTCGACTGTAATGGTCAATGATGCTGTTCTTAGAAGCTCATCTGTATATAAAAAAATGCAAACGACGTCAAAAGAATTGGTCTTTGTTAGAACTGTGCTAATATTCACAGCCAGACTTATGGAGCTCAGTTTACACAATGAGCTCACTGTGGAGTAAACGCTCAAGAATGCTTTAAGGAGGGAGCTGAATATCCAGGGAGCAGCTTTGCCTGACTGAGCATGAGCAATTTCCTCACCGCTCCCTTCTCCTTTCCCTGCCCCCATACCATAGATTACACTGATGTCATGCTTTAGAATAAAACTCATTGGGTCATTAGGTTTTAAAACTCTGTGAACAAAGTGGGTTTGCCTGTACACAAAACATAAGCAACATCTAAACCGATGCTTACCAATAAGCACCGTTATCTCGGCTTTCTGTGTCTGTGTAGCCAGAGTCCAGAAAGGTGTCCTTGTAGATGCGTCCCAAAAGGCAGTATACATCAGATGGTACTTGTTCTTCTAACTGTACCAACTGCAGCATTATAGCGATAGCCTTTTTTCTGTCGTCGGGCTGATTTCTCCTACAAGGGAAAAGAGATTACATATATGAAGTAGGTGATTGCTAATTCACTTCTCATGTCATCACACACTACGCCCAAACACTGCTTGGTGTTACACAACCGAATGTGGCTGCCTGAGCCCGACAAGTTCAAAGTAAACCATTGATCTACCATATTTAAGACTTAAAAAATATATTTTTTAATATCTATATGTAGAATCAAATCTTGTTTGATAAAAAACATGAAAATGATCTCTGTAGCTTTCAGACCCAGAAATACATTCACCCTACGGTTCTTAACCAAGTGCCAATCTTGGAGCAAGTGAAGCCAAGGCCACCCTATAGCACTGTCTAATTCTTCATTTAAATATAAAACACAATTGATAAAGGCCTTGAGACTGCTTGGTTGCCTATTGCGCACTTGCCTAACACAACTCTGCAGTGATAAGGAGTAGGCAATTTAGGAAGACAGGTAACCCAAAATAAGCACACATGTCCTGACCTACAATAATAAAACTAGCAAAAATGCAGTGATACCAAATGTATTAGAATTGCATAAAAATCCATTTTTGCTTACAAGTGTGAAGATGAACCAAAAGTATTAAAGAACCAAAAAATATTGAATTGGATGTCGCAGCTTGATCCTATTAAGTATGAAGTACAATAGTAAAAGCAAAAATGAACTTTTATGTAATTCTAATGCATTTGGTATCACTGCATTATTGCATGTTTTTATTGTAGGTCAGGAGACTCCATGCATTTTTATGCTGGTAATCTATACTGACGCTATTGCAGTAGTGAAGGATCGCTGCATTATCAGAAGTGCTATGCTTCGAGGGACATGTTAAACCAAAGACTTGCCTGCCTCTTCTAGTGGACACTAAAGATCCTACAACACTATTGAAAAACAGAAATCTTTTCCACGTGTCCCAGCTATCCTCCAGATAATTTTTTTACTCACCTCATGTTTGTTAAATGAGGGAGAGGGAAACAGAAAGGTATAGGAAGGATTAAGGATTGGGTAGAGACTAATGTAGAGTATAAACACCAGCACAGACTAGTTGAGCCGAATGGTCTGTTTCCATGCTGTACAATCTAGATAAATCTACGTAAACTTTGTGGTCCACAAAATCAATGCAGTTGACAGTAATATCTGTAAAGCATCTGAGATGTTAAGGGACTATAAAAATGCTTTCTTCAATAAATCATTAAGTGCAGTTCTGTCACAAAAGGAGCATTGCTGCCTTTATGGCTGAAACAATTGACTGACTGGTAATCAAAACCAAAAGGTGAAGACAAGTATTTACACTGATGTCAGCCTGGCTCAGTTGGTACCACTCTCACGTCTGAGTCAGAAGATTGTGGGATCAAGACATCAACGGGACTTTGAACTCACAGTATATATAGACTGATATCCATTGAAGTCCTGGTGGTGTGCTGCATTTCACAGCCATTTGCGAGATATTGCTGTGTACAAATTGGCTGCCTTATTTGTCTACAAAATAGCATTTTACAGTAAATTTTGTGAAGCACTCGAGATTTCCTCCCAATGTGAAAGCTTAATATATCAAATGCAAAATTATGACATTATTGTAGATAGCCATGAATATCAAAGGCACAATCACATTAGGGAAATTTAGAAAATAAAGTCCTCTAGAAATTTGCCAGCCAGTTGTACTGTATCTTTAAAGTTGAATCGACACTGAATGTACAGCACAGATTAGCTTTTTGAGGCACCTTCAATTTGGAAATTTATTTCTGTAGCTTCTAAAGAAAGTGGGTTAAGGAATCAAATAAATGTCATTACAGTTGTGTATATTGGATATGCAGTGCAACCAGTTTTACAGAGTTTTTAAAAATGTACATAATGTTTTTAATGTCAACGAAGAGCCAAATCACATGAGAACATTTGAAGAACAATAAAATAAACTACAGTTAACTGTTGTTTAGTACTAACTACTAGTGCCTTACCATGGCCTGGAGTAGTGGGACCTGGTCAAGTGAGGCTAGAATTTTCATGTCTCACAGCAAGCATCACGAGACCAGCGAGCAAGAGCTAAGTGAATGGAGTAAGGAAAGCGGGTGAGCAGCTAAGACATTGTGAGTATGTGAAGGGTCTGTTATCATGGTAACAAAATAGCTTGGTTAGACAAACTCGTAGATTCCGTAAGGAAGTGTGCCTTACGAGTCAAAAAAGGTCACCAGCCGCCACTCGCCTGGAGGAATATAAATCTGCATTACTGGTCCGAAAATCTATGCAGCTGGGAGACAACTCCATAATATTCACCAGTATAAAAAGTACATTACCATATTTGGGTTGAGATGTCTGACACAAACAACGAGATGTAACAAACATTATCTCAACCCCTCAATCCTGTTTCGATGCATTAATTCCCTCCTATTGTCTATTTACTTTTATTACAGAGAAATAAAACTGGCCATAATTCTAGACTTGTTATAGAAACATTACAGATCATCTACCTTATTCTGAGCTTTTTAAACAGTTATTCACAGAACCGAATTCTGGATTGTTGGAGATTAAACGTGTACATGCTTTAAAACACAAGGGTTTGGCAAGAATCTGCGAGCTCTCCTCATGATTCTCTACATACTGACAATATCAGGTCAGGTCATCTCAGGAACAGAAAAATATTGAGCAAAGCTGTACCACCCACACATCTATCAACCCATCTATTACCAAGTTACAGACAAAACTATTTACAACAATTCCATAAAATGCTTCATGCATCAGTTGCTTTTTATGCGTGTTTTTCTTTAATGGGAGCTTGCAAGTGACTGCATCCGATTTCTACTGCTCAGCCAGAGAGTATATCGACAGCTGACTCTGGGCAGCGGGCCAAGATGAATAGAGTTTGGAGTTCTTGTGTAAGTCAGGATGGATAAGTCGCATGATGTTTAGGTTGGAGCACAGGCTGTTCTCCTCAAACAGTTGGCAAATTCTTCAAGTCATAACCAAGCAAAGGATAAATGATGAATTGGGTTCTCATTAGTCTTCGCTTTCTCAGACACACTGATAGATTCATATTAAAAAATATAGCATGGAGGGGCCACTTTGTCTGTGCTGGGCTAACTCCAAACTGGAGCCTCTACTCTAATTCCCCCCACCCACCCCACCACCCACCCGTTCTTTCCCCATATTCTTCATTTTTTTGTCAAGTAATTAACCAGCTCCCTTTTAACTACTTGCATTTATATAGGGCTCTTCATACGAGGTAACAGATCAATGCGGATAAGTGCTGTTGGGGACTCAGCTTCGACTGTCATTTATGGTGATTCATTCTGTGTTCCAACAACTCACTGAGTACTGAAATCAACTCAATGAAAGGCATAGTTAAGCTTTTACAATGTTGTGTCTATTTCAAATTTTGATCAGAAAGAGTAATACATAGAAGCACTTTTGGCTACAACATTTTCTCAGTGTTTCGTACTGCTCTTACTAGCAGAAAAGAAAAGGATATTTAGAAATCATTGAAAGCTATGGTAATTTACAGCTGAAGAAACCATATCCAATGCATTTATTTGTGAATTGTACAACACATAATTGCACTTTTCCAATGAATCAGTTAGAGCTGGAAGCTAGCTACTGATTGCTTTAATGTAAAAATAGAGCCCTTTCTAGCAGCATTTTGAAGGTAGTAATACTTTAGTTTCTCAGGGCTTATGTACTTAAACCTCTGGCAACCTTTCGTCAGACTTATTTCCTGCCAGAAACAGTGTGCAAGAGCAATGATGTGGTACAAACGCCAATTACTTCCTGATCTCAATCTGCAATGCAACTTTCTGCAATGAATGAACAATTTATATTCGTGAAGTGCCTTTTATGTCAGGAATGTGACTCAAAAGTATTCCACCCAATTGACTGGGAGCTTGAACAGGTGGGAGAGGGAAAGCAGAGGATGGGAAGCGAAGGTGGCTGAAAGCACAACCGGAAATGGCATGTTTTACAATATAACACAAAATTACATTTGTATAGCGCCTTTCACGTTGGGAGGACGTCCCAAGGTGCTAGACAATCAGGGATTTAGACCCGAGCTGAGGGTCTGGATCGGTGAGGGTGGAGACCAGGGAAATGGAAAGCCAGAGAGCAAAGCAGAGGGACCCTGGAATGGACCCAAAGAGCAGAGGCTCAAGCTTGCCCACCGATGGGGTTGACTGAATACGGAATATGAAACAAGCATTTGCTAAGCAGTGGGAGCAGCCAGGACAGTAGCCCTAGATGTAGGATAGGGATTGGCCGGGGAAGCAGCTGACAGTGAAGATAAGAAAATTTTATTTAATTCACTGGGGAATGGGAAGCCAGTAGAGCCAAGCTAGTATGGTGTCAATGGACTTGTGAAGCTAGATAACACGAATATGCAGAGATTTTTGGTCTGCACTTTGTGAAAGGAGGAGATGGACATTTACAGTAATCAAACGTGGAGGTGATGAAGCATAAACGAGGAAAGCTGTGAGGAAAGGTGGTGGCTGAGCAGGTCAATATCAATAATAATCCTTGCATTTGATATAGTGTCTTATCACGTCTTTAAGAGACGCCTCATAGCACTTCACAGAATATACTGCAAAGACAATGTGAAGACGGGGAAATACAACTCGCCTTGAAGGCCCTCCACGGGCTTGCTCCTTCCTACCTCTGTGAACTGCTAACCCCATATCAACCCGTCCTCTCCCTTGGCTCAGCAGGCTGCTGCCTGCTCCACGTCCACCACCCGGCCAGCCCTACCATCGGCAGTCGGGCCTTCAGCCTCTCTGCCCCCCAACCTTTAGAACTCCATCGCCTAGTCCCTTCATCGTGCTCCCTCCCTTACATCCTCAAAGCACGTCTCAAGACTCTCCTTTTCGACCACGCATTCGGCTACCGTCCTACCCATACCCTCCCTGCACTCCACCGCTCCTGATCCCAACCTTCTGCTCAGGACCAAATCCCTGAATGACCAGTGCCTTGGGATGTCCTCCTGATGTAATTGGCGCTTTACAAATGTAATTTGTTGTTGTAGTGAGAAC